TGGGAATTCTAGTTTGTATTGGTTTGCTTTATATGTTTATATGTGTTATATATCAGTTCTTGACTGCTGGATGAGACTAGTCTGATATGTTGTGGTATGTTTTCCCAGTGGGTTTTTTTATAGCTTATTTGGAGTTTTACCAAAACATTAAATGCTAGAAATATGTTATATACCTACTGTAAGAATACCACTTATAAATTTAAAAGGGATGCAACAGATGGAGTATAATGTGCAGTCGCTGGACACAAGTGTTCTCAAACAGAGGTGTTTCACGAACACAGCATTCAGTTTGTGCGCAGGATAACAACAAAAATCCCTTATTTGCAAGATGTATTGGAGGGTTTAACAATGCAGCCTTTATTTCTCTTTGCCTACTGTGTTCCTTGAAGACATGCGGTTCTTTTGTTTAAATTCTTACTGTTGAACAATGGCCTTATATAGCTCTCCGTTATAGAATGTGTGCATGAAGCACAGATTTAGCTTTTTTTGCACTGGCTGTTACACACTGTCCAAATTAAACTGGTTTATCAAATGTGTACTTACTTAATTATACACTGAGACAGAGACCGTGAAATCACCCAGTGACTGCCACCTACCCGGCTCTATTGATCATGTGCAAAGAAGTTATCCATGTCAGTTTTCTCCAATCTGGATGGTGGTGTTTGGTTGACAGTTTTGAAGGCAGTTTAGCCAACCATTCTCAGCCTATCACAGCTGTCCAAGTTGGACAGAATTGGATTCACAACAATTGTGACTGGGCCCTGCAGTTCTGCCTGTCAAGTGGGGGCCCAAGCCAGCCAGCCCCACCCTGGAAAAGAGTGGCAACACACTGATGCAATCAATGAGTGCCAAGTTAAAAGAGCAGTTGAGAACATGCTCTAACAAAGATGAGGTCAGAAGAGACCGGGGACCGCCATGTATTACACTTCCCTCCACAGAGAAAGGTAAGTGGCGGGAGAGAGGAATTAAAGACACAGCTTAATTTAGTGGTTCTGGTGTCTATAGCTTGTCCCTGCAGTGTTAGCACTGTAAACATTGCCTTTTCAGAAAAAAGGCAGTGTTTATATTTTTGCCTAGTAACACCTCTATGTGCTTCCTACTTCAGTGCTGCACAGTGTGCAGCACCTACATTTAGGATCTCCAGATTTCACCATAGATATGCATTGATTCAATGCATCTCTATGAGGAGATGCTGACTGATGCTGTGCAGCGTATTGCCTTATATACGCAATGGATGAGATAATTACGATCGAGTATTTCAAACATGGAGGCAGGGCCAGCCATGGCAAAACCAGCACGGCAATGGAGAAAAAGTGAGTAAAACTACCTTTTCACTGCAATCACACTCAGGCAACCCTCACAAACAATCACTCTCAGCCAGTTCCACGCACAAATCACACTCAGCCAAAGCCACCCTCAATCACACTCATTGCACTTTAACCAAAATCACCTTCAGCCAACTGTACACTAAATTACACTTAGAAAAGTCCCCGCACAATCACAAGCCCTAACACACATAATCACACTCTGCAAACTCCACATATACATTTCACACTCAACAAACTTTGCACATGAACATCACACTCAGCCAGCCCTTACACAATTACACACACACAGCCACCACACAAATCCCACCCAGGTGTATTGCTTAGGGGGGAAACGAGAAGTGGGGATGATAGGCAACCATTCCTTGATTCTTTCCCCTTGTGCCCAACTGTTGCTATTTAGTCCCCGATTGGCATTGGTAATGCAGACATATAAATTCTATATTATTAATGCAGCTAAAGAGGTGGTAATATTTGGGTGCTGTTGCGAGACCCAGTTTTTGTTAAACCACTTCTAAAAGACTCTAGGCAACATAACCACAACACTATACCGTAATGGTTATGTTGTTTCTAGTGGCCCTTTAAAAATAATGAAAAATAAAAGATAAACAGCACATATATATTTATTGGGAAACCTAATGTCATCTCCTTGTTCTGAGGACATCCATGTACCATGCAGGTAGTCATGGTTATGTATGTCTACGGGACAGACCTACGGCATGCTCTCAGAGCTATTAGCAAAACAGTTTGGGGAGGAAGACTTGACAAACAAAATAATAATAGCATGATGTAATGTGTTTGTGTGTGATGAGAGTGGTTTGTCTCCATGTGATGGAGTCTGTCTGTAATTGGAGTGAGCTGTCTGCGTGTGATGGAATCTGTCTGTAATGGTAGCGAGCTGTCTATGATGGGGTCTGTCTGTATAGGGAGTGAGTTGTCTTTAATGGGGTCTGTCTGTAATGGGAGTGAGCTGTCTATGGTGGGGTCTGTCTGTATATGGAGTGTCTATGGTGGGGTCTGTCTGTATTGTGAGTGAGCGGTCTATGGTGAGGTCTGTCATAATCGCCCATTAATCTTCATTTATAATTGCAAAATAAAGGGCACTACTTGCGTTATATGCTGTGGTATGTAAGACACAAAGCCACTTTTGTACTTCTTTATTTCCAAGCATTACATCCGGTTATTCCTGAGAAAGAGTTGTTGCATTTTATTTGTTTCGCCTATTGCCAACACCTATCTCTTACTTCTCTGGTATCCATTTTCCGGATTATTTTGCTAACTCATAGTTTTCAGGTTTTTGTCTGTTGTCTCCTCATTTTACGTCTTTCAAGGTACATTGTAATTCCGGTTCTGCTACCTTAAGTGTGAACAAATATGATCAGACAAAAACAGTTCACATTCAGTGTGTATATAAACATAAAAACTGTATGAATTGCTTAAAATGTGTCAAGAGTCTACAGAACAAACTTCCTCCCACTATAAACTGTTACCAGCAAACAGGTGTTACAACCAATATTTCCGTTAAAGTGTGATTTCTATTGGTTAAAATGCACAAATCCAAAAGAGAAATGGATGTTTCATAGTAAGATTTACCTCAATAATAGATTGTTGGTGGAGACTTTGTAACCACAAAAAGGATATAAATTCTCCTCCCTTAGCCTAGGAGAAGGCGGGTATAAATCGGGAGAGGACTAGTGTGTGGCCACCAATGCCAATTAACTGTTACTTTTTTTGTTGTTGCTTACAATTCAGTTTTTTATTGAGTCTGAGAAAACACGACAGAGATTTATAGTGGATCAGGTGTGAAGCGGAAGTAATTAGAACAAACTTCTGCTTCATTTCCAAGCTAAAGGAACGGCCATCATCCCAAAATGTCACTGGTTGTAAAAGTACATATATCGAATGATGGGCCCTCTTTAATTAGCATTTGCCAGGCTGTGTCGGAAAACCTTCGCAGCATTCAAATAAATACAAAAATAAAGATTTTGGGGGGAAGTGGGAAGGCTAACACTAAGCTTCTAACTCTCTACAGTCAGAGTTTGTCACTAAGCATTCAAACTAAATAAATTACACAAATTTCGCCACACTAAATACATTAATATTTCCTGTTTATCATAAATTAGGTCCATGCATCAATTTTTCGTGACTTCTATAAACATAGTTTTTTATGGTATAGAATATTTGGACATATCTTTCTCTTTTTTTTGTTTTTTCAAGGAACGCTAAAAAAAAAAAATTAGATTACATTACGCACTTTAATTAAAACAAAATGAATAAATAAACAGCAATAGTCTGGAATTCCAACATGTAAGTGCCATTTATGCATAAAAGGACAGTCTATGCACCATACCCAACCAATTTTAAATGCTTTGAAACTTACCTGTGTCTCCCGGGCACCGTAGTCTGGTCCCTCTTCACAGCTATAGCTACAACTATAAGATAAGCCAATTTAGTCTCTTTTAGGCCCTTATCCATAGACAGATGGAATTGATATGCCAATGCAGAAGGGTAACTGGAGGATTCGGGTAAGTGTCAAACTGTTTGGAAAGGGTTTGACTTTTAACAGTGGGACGACACCATTACAACAGGCTGTAGTAGTTATGGTGCTTAACGTGCAGCCTGAGTAATTTTGTTAATCGCCAATGCCAGCAATGACATTTTTCTAAGGGAACCTATTTTCACACTTAAACACAGCTTTCTCGCTACAGTAGCAGGTTGAATGCTTAACTACTCGACCAGCTCAGATAGCCACTTCATTGACAGCTGGCTCTCCCCGGCAGTGTTTGGGCACTTGTTGCCTGATCAGCCATGTGTAGCGTCATATATCTGCAGATATATCACTTTTCCTGTTTCTCTCTGTGATCAGGCTGTAAGCTTCTATCACCGATTTAGTCTAAACAATAAAGTAATTCCATTTTAAACATACAATACACAAATCCTATGACTAGAGTAGCTGGGAAGTGGATTTCAGTGTTAGTAACTTATTTTAAGAAATACATTAATAGCAAAATCGCCAGCAAGTACGCGGATAATTGGGTTTATTCACTAAATACCAAACTTTTCAATTAAAACAATATTGCAATATTTACAATCTCTTAACTCCGCTAGTCGCAACTTGGCTATTTTTACCTGAATTTTACAAATTTCGGTTTCAATACACTGCAATTCAGTGTCTAGTAAAAAAAAACAAAAAAAAAAAACTTTAAAATGTTGGAATTACATGGATTCAGAGCACACATGCGAACTGCGCAAATATCCACTGCCGCCGCCATACTTATTATTATTTAAAATACCAGAATAAGCAAGCGCTAAAAAAAAATAGCAATCGCAGAGTTAACAATACTTATTTAGCAATTTATCTGGCACAAACTATAATGACATTGTGTGCCACTGATAGCTACTTTGTAACCGAAAACTACCGGTACATATATTTTTTACAACAAGACAGGAAACTCCATCAATTCTGGGTTTTCCTCACCATTTTTGGAAATAAGAGATTCTTGAAACGTGAGGGTTTTTCTCCCAAATCTACAAAGTGCAGTGTCATTTATCTCTGCGTGACGTGCACTTTAATAAGAGCCAAAACACATTGACCGTACAATTATTATAATACATACAGCAATAGGTTAATTATAAAAAAATTTTATTGCAATATTATTAAACGGGTGGGTAGTTAGGAGACTTCCCCCAAGACCAGTTCTGATAACACCAGTGTTTAGTCCTGAGTGCATGGAAATGGCTGATTTGTATAGCTTGTTTAATAATTATGTTTTAATCCAATCATGGTCTTATTCACTAAACATTAAATTGTGGAGAATTACAAAAAAAAATAAAAAAAAAATTTTAGGCAAAAGAAAATTAATGCAGATTTTAATAAAATCTCCAGCTTAATTGCACCCAGAGAGTGGCTATTCTGCATTATATTCTGCCATTGATTTTGTTTTTTAATGTCACTATAATTCACTGTTTAGTAAATAAGCCCCTCATAATGCTCAGCTCTCCCAGCCTGTCCTCCCCTCCCAGCCATTGCTGCGCTACTGCGCATGGGGCGCTGCGAGCCACACTGTGCATGTCCGAGTGACGCATTGCAGGTACCCAGCAACCAATCAGAGGCCGGCTAGGACGACTCACACTACAACGCGTCGAATTCCCGTGCACATGCCCCCTAGCGAAATAGTCCCCAGCTCCGCACCGCCAGACGTTGCCCAGCGCTCGGTTAAAGAGTCCCGCAGCCTGTACCGGTCACGCCGCTCGACACGATGCGCGCCCGGGGTTTCCGATGACAGAGATAGCGGTATTTTCTCCGGTGTTGCTAGGAGTGAGCGGATGGAGGGAAGCCTCACCATCCCTGTGTGTAGCAAGGGGGCGGGGCCGAGGCTTGGCGGAGGGATCCGAGCCGGAGGGAGGTGTTTATGAAGGGCCGTTGGCGGCGGTTGGAAATTAGTCCGAGCCGTGCCTGCGAGGAGTGAGGTTGTCGCTGTGCTGCTGCTGCTGGGGCTTTTGCGCGTATTTTAACGACCGCTCGTGGACATGGTGAGTACCGGGCTGGGGCCTGCGGGGAGCCCACACTCACTGAGGACCGGACCGGGGTTTACCACCTGCCGTGCTGTGCGAGCCGAGTGCGCACTCACTGTCACTGAGTGCGCACTCCCTGTCAGAGGCTGGGGCCGGCCGGCTGTTAATGCTGACAGGAAAGGAGAGGGAAAGGGAGTTGTCCTGTCTGCTCTCAGCCCGGCTCTGCTGCTCTCCCTCCCCACCCTGGCTATGAATGGAAGCCATCCCAATATAACGGAATCTTTATTATCACTCTGGGAGACTGGGTGTAAGTAATTCCTGGCAGCATTGAAGCTGGGCATAATGAGAGGGTCTGAGGGGGCTGTGAGCCCCTGGCAGCTTATCCTTTTAAGTCTTATCTTACATAATCAATCTCTCTATTATAATATCTAATGTACTGGGTACCAGTCTGACACACACATAGCACATTATTTTATATATTTTTTTTTTTTGTGTGAAGGTGCTGCAGTATGAGTCCTCCCTTGCTAATGATTGATCCCTGTCTTATATAGGGCTAGTAATCCTTTTTTTTTTTTTTTTTTATATAGGGCTAGTGATTGATCCCTGTTTATATAGTGTGACGCCCCTCTCTGCATGGAAGTGTCATGGTACTTTCTGAAGCCTTGTTGGTAGTCACAGGTTGCCCAGCTATTGGTGTGTATGTGAAAGGGACTGGCTGAGGTTAAGCAATCTGGGCTATGCAGCCTTATCCTGTATCCTGATGTAGTGTCATTAGCTGGCTGACCATCATAAGCTTGGCCTGCAATAGGTGGGTTAAAATACACTTTTTATGTGAGGGAGGGAAATGTGGATAAGGTAAAGGCTGGCTGTGATGCACCACTGTTTAATTTATTGGCTTCTTAATGTTGGTTTGCAGGCAAAACTGCTGCTTGGTGTGGTGGTTGTCATTAAATGGGTTGCGTAATCTTGATGCCTATCTAGCACACTGTGTTGTGTAGTTAATGTTGTAACGGTGCTTTCTGGACCTGGATGTTGCCTAAGCTGCACTCATTCAGGGAGAAATGTCTTTCCCACAGCCAGCTGGAGACTGATCTAGCTATTGTACTTGTACATTGTGCAGGGGCACTGGCTTAGCGGTTACATAATCTGAAATAACCCATCTGTAAACTAGGTCGCATGATGCTCGAGGAAAATTGTGGGGGATGAGAACATGCGACCGTGGACTGGACTGTTATTGGCTTTTTTATTTGTATAATTTTTTTCTCCCTCCTTACTCTTCCCATGTCAGAGCCTTTTCTGGATATTCTATAGTGACTTCCCTCTTTCTTGCTTCAGAGAAACTAGATGGGTTCTTAGCTTGCTAAAACTGACCTGTGGTTTTAAAATTGGGTTTTTATTTTTATGGTCACTTTCAAGAAAAGTGCTACCTGTATACCTGTTGCATGCAAAACTGCAGTATAGTTCACGTGATTTAAAAAAAAAAAAAAAATTTTTTTTTAATCTCCCACCCAAGTAAACTGCAGCTGGGAGCAGTCTCTTGTCACAATTAACGTATCTGCTGTTTTGTCTCCTCCCAAGACTAGGGTGGGTCCACCGCATTGTACTGCAGTTTCCGGTAGGAAGGGCATGTGTCCTGCTCAACCATCAGTAAGCTGAGATGTAATGGAGCAGATGAATAAGCAGAGTTCATAGCTGCGCCTCCAAATACAGGTCTATCTGTATCTCGTGCAGCTAACATTGACTGGAACTGATTGGAACTGTAGACCATACTCGAGCTATTCCAGAATTTGCTGAAAGTGGTCTGGAAAGAATTACAAATTCTCAGCTGAAGAAAAGGCCATTAACAGCCATGGAAGTTGCCCATGACTATGAAACAGATGGCGATTATGTTACTGCTAGTTTTGATCTGTTTTTGGGTGATATTGCTGTCCAAGAGTGACTGAAGTCTATTAAAAAAAGAGAAATTGTCTCGTTCTGCAGAAATTTTGTATCTATTCCCTTTATAATTGGGAGGGAAGCTGATCATAGGTTTTGCGTTGGCATGACTAGTTGCACACTTGCTCTTGTATATTAACGGGGTTGTCTGTAAATGAGCACTCATGGTGCAAAGTTCTAAATGTGATAGTCACCATGGAATTAACTGGAATGTTGGTGTTAACTGCACCTCTTTCAGGACTTTGCTCTTCTATTGGTTTATATTAATAACATCCAAAGGTTTACTTCTGCTGTTATTGAGTTCTGAATCTTTTGATAAATAATTGGTATCTTTAGCTATTGCAGCATCATGATTTTATATGAACTATATTTATTTAAGACTTGATAGTGGTTTAACTCTTGAATAGTCATAATGTTTGAGGACCAAACTTTTTTTTTTTTTTTTCTTAAACACCATTCTGCTTTACATGCTCTAGAACAGTGATTTGTAGTAAAATCAATCTGAATATTTTAAATTTGTGTAGCATTGTACTTTATAGACTTAAGGGAGTCTGTATGCACTAACAATTTTCTCACTGAATTGGTTATAGTGCCTGGAGTCCCCTGACACGCTTCTCTACCTTCAGTATTAAAACTCTTTTCAAGCAATTACACACTGAGGGGTCCTGACTTTCTATAGCACCACCCCCACTGAATGTATGGCTAAGGCAGAGCTTACATGCTTCCTTGTAGCAATACTGATTCATACCTGCAATGGCACTGTGACAGCCAATTACAGCTTTACCATTATGTTGCTCACTAGCCAAAGATGCTCAGTGGATAGGTTGAGGACTCTTGTTGGCAGTTAAAAATGACAGGTGACTCCAGGCACTACAATCACTTGAGTGAGCAAATGCTGTTATGGTGCCCAGTGTCCCTTTTAGCAGTTTGTTCAGTGTTGGTTATCTTTGAATTGCTTTACAGATTCTCTTAACTCTAGCTTGTTAAACTGATCATATGGAAAAAGGGCATGCCCTTGTGCCATACCTGATTTCTGCATGGTTGGGGTTCAATGTGCTTGGCTACTGCTACTTATAAAGCAGTCTGCAAAAGTTACTGCAGTTATACCATATCATAGCTACCCATACAGTTGCTTGTATGGGGGTGCAATGTTTATAAAATATTTTACCAGGAAAGATACATTGAGATTTCTCATGTTTTAACATGTCCTTGGTATATGTAGTCATGCTTCCTCCATATCCCCATTTTTGATAAGCTTCTTTAAAGCTATCTTGTTTGTTAGCCTGTTTTGCACCTTTTGGCTTCATGAAAATGTGATGCTATTTAAAATGCAATGGAAGCTATGCTGTTAAATCTCTTGATAACATTTCAGCTATGGGTCTAGAGTTCCCTGCAGAAGATGCAAATCAACAATATTTACAAACAACTTTAAGACCTAGGTAAAAGGCTAAATTGAACACATTAAAGGAATCAAAACCTCTTCCATACAAGACTTCCCACTGCCCGTCTGACTCAACTGGTCATATAAAGTCACTGTAGTTGGGCTACAAATCTGCACACAGTGTGAAGTGAATACCAGTGGCATCTCTGCAAGTGATCCAAGATCTGGATAATGCCATAGCCTTGTGCTATCTCCTAGAATGGGTTTCTGATGCATTCCATGTGGCTTTCAAGTTAAAATGCAAAGTTTCAAATCTTTGTAACTAATGGAGATTTTGTGTAAATCATCTAACTTTGGCAAAGAATTGGTATAGTACTGGGCGTGTATCACCTCTTCTGAAGTGTTGAGAACTGGTGCATTGGAAACGTGTAGTTTAAAATGGTGCATACCTTTTGTGTTTTTTTTTTTTTCTATACAGAAGTAGTTCTTGGTTTCTTTATGTATAACATGCATATTGAAAGAGGGTGGAGCCTTAGTCAGTTTACTTCCTGTCAACTTGCTAATGTACTCCCAGATGTGACATTTCTGGCAGTCATGTCAGAGCAGGTGGCAACCACCTTGTTAAACACAAAGATTGCTGTGACTGTAATGTAGACCTGACAGGACAACTCGTCTTAACCCTATAAACACTCACCTTATTCCAGCACCTAGGTCTCTCATCTGTCGGCCTTGATAAGGAACTTAATGCTCATGCATTGCGCGCTCCACTCATGGGAAAGCAATGAATCAATGCTGTCTGTGAGATTTAAAGACACTGGGTATCCTCACACACTGCATAAGGATGTCCAGCGATTCAGAGTATAACTTCATGAAACAGCTGCAAGCACCTCTAGTGACTGTCTGGTAGACTGCCACTAGAGGCAGTCATAACCCTGCAATATAACACTGAAGTTTCTCTGAAACTACAATGTCTTAAACTGAAAGCTTATGGGGACTGGGACAATGTTCCCAGACAACTTCAATGAGACAAAGTAGTCAGAGTGCTTATTGCCTTGTGGTTTTTCTGTTTATGTAGCCCTAGCAAAACCTCCCTTGGCCTGTGACTCTCAGCCAGCATGAAATATTTAATTTTAACTCTGTCTTACAGTTATCAAATTCTTATGCTCTGTTGAAAGGGACACTATATAGGGTTGGCAATACACATTTCTGATCAATGGGACCCTTTGCTTTTGAGCATTGGTCCAGACACCACGCTTCGCCAATCAGTTTTTCTTAAAGGGACACTCCAGGCACCCAGACCACTTCTGCCCATTGGAGTAGTCTGGGTGCCAACTCCCACTACTCTTAACCCTGCAAGTGTAATTACTGCAATAATTACCTTGCAGAGTTAACTCCACCTCTAGTGGCTGTCTACTAGACCGTTATTAGAGGGCACTTCCGTGTCCCTAGCACAGGAAACCTGAGCTAGAGCGTCGCTGTATGTCCTCGCGCTGTGAGGACCTCCAGCATCTCTCATTTCCCCATAGGAAAGAATTTTCAATGCTTTCCTGTGGGGAGCTCTAATGTGCGGCATTGCTGCGCATTTGCATTAGGTCTACCTGGTGGGCGGGTTGTCTCTCCCACCGGCCGTCGCAATCACTGGGAGGAGCGGCGGAAGCAGCAACGTGGGACACGTTGCTGCTTCTGGTAAGTGACTGAAAGGGTTTTCACCCCTTCAGCAACCAGGGATTGGGGGGTGGGAGGGAGAGGGGACCTGCATGCCAGAAAAACTATTTCCCTGGCACTGGAGTTTCCCTTTAAGCCATCTGTTTGGCAAGAGCAGCATAAAGCAAATTTCACAGCTAAGTAGTAAATTGAGCAGGGAGTCTGCATTATCGGTCCTCACACGAAAACCTTAACATAATGATAGGGTGATTGCCCTTCCCTTAAGGGAATATTTGCATAAATGGAAATCCCTGCAGCAATCCTCTGGTCTCATTCTAAAAACTTTTTAAGGTTGTAGTACAGCAAGCTTTTTTGGCCTTAAAACTGCTATTAATTGCTTTTTGCAGTATTCACTGCAGTGGCACTGATAATGTATACATTATTGTAGCCTATGTGTCCATGGAGCATGGACTGTGTAACCCTTGCTTTCCTGGCATTGGCTGCTGTCTGTGCTCATTTACTAACAGAGCAGTGAGCTTGTTCTGTTGACATTTCCTACCTGGCATCTGATGCAAGCAAGTACCCATGGTGTTTAAAAGTTCTAGTTGGATAACTATGTAGTCCTATTCCTGCAGGCAGTTGCTGAACTTTGTGAATCTGCATCTTCACGTGCTGTATCCTGTGTGCAACTATCCCCTTTCTAGAAATTTTGGATATATAAATGCATTGTATAAATGCTGAGAATAAGTGTCATTTATTGACATCTCAAGATGTTTCAGAGAATCTAACCTCCTTGGGGGAGGAAACTTGGTGCCATCTTAGCTTTCTTTTTATTGAAGCACTGACAAAGGGGTATTTATGCTAGTCTGCTACCTCAGTGGTTGATGCCACAGCTTGCAAGCATTTAATGTGATGGCTAACTAAAGTACTTCTATTTTGCTGAATTAAAGTGTATAAAACATCAAGAATTTAGTCCCAGAGGAACGAATCTTGCACGAAGACATGGCAAATACCATAAACTGAGTTATTGTAGTTATCTTTTTTAGGACTTCTGAATAACATTGCTGGTGGACTGTAAAGATGCCAACTCCAAATGTAGGGAATAGTTTGACCTATTGTAAAACTGTAGGTGCTTCAGTATGCTGTAGTGGTAAGGTGTCCGGAGTTCCCCTGTGACTTCACAGGGTAGTCAGTTTGACCACTTACCTGGGGCTCCAACAGGCACAGATTTTATCCTCCAGGGCTGCCTTAAGCTCACTTGAGTTAAACCCTACACTGCTTTACTGCTACTAGTCACTTGGTTATGATGTGCATGTGTTATGTACAGTGTGGCATAAGACCTACAGGCCATTTAGGAAGCATTAAATCTTTGTTCTGAAAACAATAGCAACCTAAGCTTGTCACATTGTTGCAAGGTGGTCCGCTGTTCCTTTCACACTGCATATAACTGTCCATAACTGCAGTTAGTCCCCCTTGTTGATATCACAAACTAGTGCTGTGAACGAACCTGGTGTATGTGCAGTCTTGTAATTACATCAAACTGTAAGTGTGGTGGTTGAGCAGTTAGTGTCAACTTTGTTAGTTCCCTAATTTTATTGATAAATAGAACTGGTTCGAAGTTGGGTGCCCCACACATGTTGTTGTAAATTTAACGTATTGACTAGACTGGTGGTTCCCAAACTTTCAAGGCAAACCAGCAGCCTGGCTTTTAGGCTTCTGGCTCCATTCCAGGATTCTAACCGTCTCAATGGTTGAACACCTATCTAATGCACTGTAGAATACAGATCATTGTTGAACTGGAGTGTCTAGTTAACATGAACCTGTTATGAAAGGTCTACCTTTTTTAAAAAAAAAAAAACTATTTTTCCTTTTTTATACAATTAAAGGGACACACTTATTCCTGACACTATAATAAACTTAATATCTTAGGAAAGCATGGTAGGCTATTGTGCATGCACAGCTTAAATGTTTGCCAATCAAGATATCATCAGAAATGCATCAAATCCATGAATCTGAGACATTCAGTGCCTCCATGCTTTGCATGCAGACTCTGAAAGCCTGTTCACCACTGACAGTCTCTTCCACTAGAGTTGTTACTAGGCAGTGTTTACATTAAAGCCTGCAGGGACTGACTATGGACTCAAGCTGTGGTTTTTCTAGTGACCTGAGTGTCCCTTAAGCTTTAACTTGTGTTTTGTTTCTGAGAGCATAAATCATGTTTTCAGTGGGTGTTGCACTTGCTGTGAGATCTCTCCTGTATATTCCTGTTTGAGAAGCACAAATTCTTTGCATAATTGGTTATCAGTCCCAACACTTTGGATTTGTGTATACAAAACTAATCTGTTTTCTCAATTCTCATATTGCCTGCTCAAAGGTTTCCTTTATCCTTGGTGCTTTCATACAGAGCCTGTCTATCCTCCCTACTTTCCATTAGGTTGAATTCAAGCAGGAGACATGCTCAGAAGAGTTTACCTGATATTAAAAAAAAAAAAAAAAATCTAAGCATTTGCTAGAACAATTTTTTTAATTTTTTTTTTTATTTTTTTATAGAGTAAATTTGATTCTCTCAATTGAGTTGTATTTGTCTTGACAAGTAAATTTTAGGCACTTAATGTACTAAGTCACTCAGAATTCTTAATCAACAGAGTTAGAGCATATTTTCAACTTGGCAATCATGGGAACGTAAAATTCTATAGATGGTTGCTGTTACTAATTGGCTTATATAACCGAAAAAGAGTGAGCTGCTGGTGTAAACATGATGTAGGTAACATAGCTGAAATAAACATGAAATTTCAAAGGGGCTCTAAGCACCATCACTGCTTTGATTTAGTCTTGGGTGCAGTCTTTTAAGGAACACTACATAGGGTCAGGAACACAAAGCTGTATTCCTGACTAGTGTCAAACCCACCATTTAGCTGACTAGTCTCCTTAAAAGCAGTCACTTAACCTATTTCCAGCGCAAATGTGCTGGCCATGCCCCTTTGGTGACATCAGAACTTTTGTTTTTTAGCCGATCCAGCGCTTTCAACATGGGGTGGGGCCAATCAGCACCAAATAGAAATGCATTGATTTAATGCATCTATGAGGATTAAGCATCCCCATGCAGAGCTCAGTGGAACTAAACTTGAGGCAGCAATTGCCCAGAACACCTGTCTTGGAAAGATTTATCATTGAGCTGCATTGAAAAGTCTAACTGGACAAGCTCAAAGTCTGGGCTCTGTTAGGGGAGGGCTTGCAAAGGCTTCACAGGTTTTGCAAGCTATTATACCTGTAATGAGAATGTGTTGCTAAATGCATGCAAGCTTTCATTTAGGGCATCTACTAAACAGTGACTTATTTTATATCTGGACAACTAAAGGGGCAGAGCTGTGTGGCTTTTTTAATCTAAAACATGGGTAGGTAACCTTTAGCACTAATGGTGACTGCATATCCCAAAATGCTGGCAAAGCACCATGGGAGATGTACCAAAGGCTGCCTACCCCTACAGTTTAGTGTTGCTTTGGAATTTTAGGGTTCCACCACTATGAAGGCAATGTTGTCTGTGGCCTTTTTTGATATTTTATTTGCCCACTTGTGATGCAAGGCCCCAGTGCATTTGATACAGGAATGTCTCCTATCACATTGCATAGTAGATATTATTGGAGTATGTGTGAGCATATGGTGGACATGGAAACTTAACTCCCTAGTGAGAATATGGACCACTAGCAGGGTTCAGACTATTCTTTCATGCTTTCCTAAGCACAAGGCAGCTAGATATTAGTGAGCTGTAAATTTTTAATCTTTGTTCTTACAAGTTTTTCACAAATCAGTTTTGTATGTAGGTACTTTGGATTATTTTTTTAAAAGGCACTGTATTGAATATGGTCTGGAGTGTAGGCCTTGACTCAGACTGATCAGCTGATGCTGACAAACTGTAATGTTTGTTGTGCTTGGAGTGAGTTTATTAAAGCCACTGCTCTATCTGCCTGTACTAAAAATGGTTACTCCAAGCACCATTACCACATCTGAGATTTTGAAGCACTGAACATAGTTTACCCCCCCTGCTGCCAGAGCTGCATGGAGGCACAGAACTCTTGTTACTGGCTGGTGAATGTCCATTCCGTACATATTGCCATACACAGAATAGCATTCATTGACTGAGTCAGAATTGATGCCCTTAAGACTAGAATCTATATAAATGTCTGCTTAAATAATTTGCATAATCTGTTCTTTTTTTTTTTTTATAATTTAAAAAAAAATACCCATGATTCTAGACCTACATGCCATGGGTGTAATGATTGACAGGGGAGCTAGTGAGCCTGCTGCCAAGTGTGACTATCTTGTTCCCTGTCTCTCATCCTCCCAGCAGCATTACTAGTTTGCTGTGAGTTTAGGACATGGTGAAGCCAGCATGTTATGTATGGATGTGCTTAGCACAGTCTTCCAAGCAGGGAATTATTCACAGCAGTGGATGGAGGTTATCACAGATATCTTGATGGTATCCTAAATAGTGCCTTCTGACTCGTGTCAAAACTCCTTCCTATGGTCTTGAAGAGATACAGCACTATATAGATCAAATGTAACTCACGTTACAAACCTGGTTTTTGTTTCTTACACTATTCTATTGAATAGGAAGCTATGCTTCCAGATCAGTTTGACACTGGTACATTAAAGGGACACTGTAGGCCACCCAGACCACATCAGCCCATTGAAGTGGTCTGGCTGCAAACTCCCATAACTCTTAACCATGATCAAGTAATTATTGCAGTTTTTTTTTTTTTTATAAACTGCAATGATTACCTGTTTAACTCCTCTAGTGGCTGTCTACCAGACAGCCACTAGAGGGACTTGCAGGTTAGACTACCTTTGGTCATCTAAACGACCTCGCGATATGCATGAGGACTTCCAGCATCTCTAGAAACTATTGAATAATGCTTTCCTATTGGAAGATTCTAATGCGAGCGTGGCCATTAATGTGCATGTACATTAAGTCTCTGGCAGCGGGGGAGGAGCATGGGGGGAGTTGAGCCAGTGCCTGGGGATGCTGAGTGACAGTGGGTTATTAACCCACTTCTGCACCACAGGGGGCCTTGACGAAGGGAAAGCTATAGTGCCAGGAAATGAACTTGTTTTCCTGGCACTATAGTTTCCTTTTAAGCAAAGAGGGCAGCTTTTATAAATGATTATTCTCTGCTTTGCCCAAGTTTTCAGTTTGCAGAAAATCAGAGGGGAAAAATAGTCTAGCTGTGACCATGGCTGACTTGTAGAAATGATCAAAAACAGTTTTAGGGTTGCACTTCTAAAATTTGTTTGGATAACACGGACAGTGATGTGGTGGCTGGCAATCCCACCCAGGTGTTACAGGGAGACTCTAGCCTAAAAAGCTTGCAAAAACATAATTGTGTTTTTGTTTTTTTTGTTTTTTTTAATCTTACAACTTTACCTTGTTTTTGTAATGGGAAATTAATTCCTCGTGGTAGTAAATTTTCATGTGAAGTAGAACTTGCCTCAACTTCAGAAAAATCTCTTCCAGAGCTGCTGCATAGCTATGTTCATTGTTCTCATGCATGTGACATTGCTAAATGTTGCACATTCTCATGCCAGTTAACTACAAATAAGTGGTTGTGGCCAAGTGAACAAAATACACATTGCAGACTTGTTTTAACACTTTGCATGCTCTTGCAGCATTGTAGTACGTTACAGTGTTTTCATGTCTGGAATTTTCACTACACTCTCTTGGCCCTAGATTTGTTAGTATGTGGAAGTGTCCCTTCAGTATCAAATGGGTTTCTGGAGCACACTGGTGTTAAATGGAGAATGCTTTAACCACTAAAATGTGAGCCAAAGTCTTTCAGCACCAACTCACTGCCTCTTTTGCACAATCATTAGTGCCACTGAAAGGCTAAGCGGTCAAATGACACTATCAGCCAATCAGTGACTCACCATTCATAAAACTGTCTCTTTAGACAACTTTTTTTGTGCATGCATAATACTTGAACAAATTCCAACAGGAAAAGCCATTGCTATAAAAAGGAACTTTGAGGTTTTGTGCTGCAGGTTATACAACAATGTGGCCGTTATAAAAACCACTAGCATTATTAAAGTTTATATCCATCTTAATGAGTATTCATGTGAAGGGCACTTTCTTGCACTACTTTATATTTTTTTTTGTAGAACATATTATTGCAGTCATAAATGAACAAGAAGCATACACTAAAACACAATCATTATGCCTTGGAACCTCCTTGCTGTGCATCAGCATTTCTGTATCTGTCAAATATGCATTTTTATTTTTTTGACCAGTAGACATGACTTGCATCTGAAGTATACTTCCTTATTTTTAAAGGGGAAACAAAATACCCTATGTTATGTCTGTAGTGTGCATTGTTCCAAGGACCAATGAAACATGAAGTTTGAAACTTGTGAGCATTTAATTGCTGCAAGTTAAACTACAGAAAACTGGGTGGTCACTGCAAAGATTAATGGGGAGAACACATACTTAAATTGAGACCCTGTATACAGCATTAAATACATATTCCTAACTATAGGTGTCCAGCCAGTCTCACTTGACGTCTCTCTTCATATGTTTGTAAATAGTATCTTGGTATACCTGAAATATATCAGGCTATAGTAAATGTGACTGGAATTACTGCTTAAAGGATTGCCATAGTGTCAGGAAAACAAAGTGGTTTTCCTAACACTGTAGTGCCCTAAGGGTGCCCCCACCCTCAGGGTTGCCCTCCCATGGTGCTGAAGGGGTTAAAACCCCTTCGGCAGCTTACCTTATTCCATCGCCTGGCTCCCTCTCCAACATCAGCTCCCCAGTCCGACGTCAGTGGAGTTGCTGCGCAGCAAGTACCGCACGCATTCATTTCTCAATGCTTTCCTATGGACGCTTTGCGCGATGGAGGCATATGCCTCCAGCGTCGCAGATGCGCCTCTAGTGGCTTCTTCTGGACAGCCACTGGAGGCTGGCTTAACCCCAAATGTAAACATAGCAGTTTCTCTGAAAATGCTATGCTTGCATCTAAAGGGTTAAAACCTGAGGGACATGGCACCCAGACCACTTCATTGAGCTGAAGTGGTCTGGGTGACTAGTGTCACTTTAAACTTGACACTTTAGTATGGGCATGAGGTCTTTCAAACTCTTACATTTACACTTACTCTGGTGTTCGCTAGTCAACCTGCATTTTCCAGTTGAGTTATTGCCTAATTAGGAATCAACAAATGTTTTATGAGTGAGATTTATCAATCTAAAATGGCTATGAAGATAAAGGCTACATTGCTTCTGAGACTTTCCAAACCCAGTAAGTTTTAATTCCACGTCACATGGAAGGAACTCCTTGTTTCCTCTTCATAATTCTGCTCCATGCAGACTGTTAACAAAGTGCCTCTAGTGAAACTAAGCTTCTATTTATGGTTTGTTTTTAACCCCCTTAAGGACATGACCTGTATGACATGTCACGATTCACTTTTATTCCAGAAGTTTGGTCCTTAAGGGGTTAGTACACACATTTGTGGTAGGGTTGTCTATACCATGTGATGTTGCTAGAGCCCCCTCAAATGTACACCATTAGATTATGGCTCCATAACTTGAAAACAATTGTAGATGGGAAAACGTTGGTCAATGAGAGATTCTGGACATGCTTAAGTGATCAAACTCCTTGATATATTACTCTTGTAGCTTTGCATAAATCACTGGAAGCACAAGGGAGCCTCCCAACAAACTGAACTGACTTGATTTGCATATTAAAAAGTCATTAAACTGACCTGCATCTCGTGTGTGTGTGTGTGTGTGCGCACACACACTTTATTTAAAGAAATATAGAAACCTACATAAAGTTGGGGATGGAAGTGTTGAAATGTATGTAATTCACATTTTTATAAACTTGATCAGATGGCATTGTTGGACATGCCGTTCTAGGTAGGGGAGTTTTCAGCCTTGCCTGTCTAGCTCCATTCCTGACATGTCCACTAATGGCAAACTGGGAATCATTATGCAGAAAGAGTAACCAGAGACTGCTCTGCATGATCAGACTCCCCTCTTCTCCCCAGTCAGGATGTTGCAAGGTGGAGCAATCTTCCAACAGGACATTTGTAACTGTCAGGCATGCCCAGTGCACTTGTCACTTTTCCAGCCTTCCTAGGGATAGGACATATATTGGGTGGTGGCAATGGAAAGGTCTAAAAAAGCAGGTAAAGATCAACCAACCTGTCTGTGTTTTTTTTGTCTTTTCTCTCCCTGCCTCGTGAGACAACGGTATCATTCCTTTAAAGGGTCCCTTGCGCACACAAGCTTACATGCATAGCATATTACAACCTAGATGTAGTGTATGTTTCTGTTAAAACAGATTAACTCTATTACATCTTGCTGTATGTAATGTGCTCTAAAAGTATGGTACTTCCTCCCCTGATCTTTTTGGCATGGATCTCTATACTGCCAGCACAAGATGTTTAAGTTGCAAGAGAAGCCTGCTACAGGCTGTTCTTGTAAGAGTCTGAGTCCTAACTGGCAGATTAGATATTTAGATTCTTTGAATCATTGTTGGATGTTAGTGTAACATCTGCAGACCAGTGGCAGTGCTGGTTAAGGGCTAGAATATGGGAAAGCGTATACCACTTCATGGGAGTGCATACTTTAAAACTTCTATAGCATAACATCTGGGAAAGCTATCTAAAGCTAACTTGTCATACATTTTCAAGTACACATGAAACAATGTAAATATCTTGCTTAAATTTGACTCCCTTTCATATAAAGCATCGTCTCAGTCTTGAATAAACCTTTTTCCCATTACTGTGTAAATGAACTAAATCTAGTTCTGCCATACTATTTTGGGAGACCTCTATACAAATGCTTCTAACTTTAGTTGTACTTTGCAGTATTTCACAAGTTTGATTTACATTGCATAAGTTATGCTTAAATTCCCTATACAGTTGACGCAAACTTTTTTGTAAGGCAATTTATACATTCATACTAAATGCCATCTCATGTCTTAAATGTTATCTTTTACTTGGTATAGAAACCATAAACCTCAGTTTCACTTACAATCAATGGATTTCAAATTAAGTTTCTGAAATGCCTAGCAAGCATTACATACTATATCAACCAGTGTATCTGTTTGTTGGATGTAGTAACAGCTCTTAAAGTCCATTATTGCATGGTTGATTTGTGTGAACTAGTGAGTCCTGCACTGCATTCTAATTAGTGTATTTTTTTTTCCTTTCAGGCTGACCAACTGACAGAAGAGCAAATTGCAGGTATGTGTTTAGTACGATTTCTGTTGGTCCTTGAAATGGCAGGTCTCTAACAGTTTGTGGGCCAGAATTTAATATAGGCTATTTCTGGAGTTTGGACTGATGCAGATTTACTTGAATTGTGGTTATACAGATCCTGCTGTAGCACATACCTAGTGCTTCCTATGCATGCTAAATGCTGTCTTGGGCTTTTAAGTTTGGTGTCACTTATGTAGGAGTTTATTCCATAAACTCAAAACTTAAAACAAAATTCAGAATGGCAAACATCTGCAGTTCTGATACATGACTATTTTAGCCTTTATTTTTTTTATTTCTATTAACTACAGGTTCATTTTAATTGACATTGTGAAGAGGCTCCTATAAAATGTATGCGTCTGAGGTTATTGGCATTCTTCAGATTAGATTTAAAATTGTTCTACAAATCACTGACATAGCTTCATGCAGTGAAGACGTCAGTATAAAATTTGCTTGTCATAGTTGTTTTTGTTACACATCTTGTGCAGGCAGTCTCCTGTAAGTTTCCTTGCTCTTTTATTTGCAGAGTTCAAAGAAGCTTTCTCACTATTCGATAAGGATGGTGATGGCACAATCACCACAAAGGAGCTTGGCACAGTCATGAGGTCGCTTGGCCAAAACCCCACAGAAGCTGAATTACAGGATATGATAAATGAAGTAGATGCTGATGGTAAGCACGAATTGTTTTGTTGCTAGCAAACTTTCCAGAAACTGTTATTTACATTATGATTTCTTTTTTAGGTAATGGGACAATTGACTTTCCTGAATTCTTGACTATGATGGCTAGAAAAATGAAAGATACAGATAGTGAAGAAGAAATCAGAGAAGCATTCCGTGTGTTTGACAAGGTAGCCTAAACATACATGATTTGTATTACAAAAAATCAGCTCAGATGTCAGCAGGCCTGTTATACTTTAAGTGGTGCACTTCCCTTAAAGGACACTGGTGTCTCCAAAACAACCAGTTTTGGTGTGTAGATTGTCCCTACATTCTGACTGCTTAATTAACTGATATTTAGTAGTTGTATCTCTTTGCTTTTGTCATATCAGCCCTTGCCACATCTCTCCTGACTGACTCACGTCCTCCATGCAGAGAATTGTATTTGTTATCAAGCCGATGTTTAATTTAGAGACATCTTCTTCTGCTTTGTATATTTAACTTTAATCATACACAGGAGACTCCTGCAGGGTCTAGAAGGCCATTAACCGAGCAGGAGATACATTCTAGATTAAACCGACTGTTCAAAGGAAGGGTTTGGGAAGGCTGTGAACACTATATGCAGGGGCAGTGTGATTAGGGCTGTATAAACAAACAAGCAATCAGAATGCACCAAACTGCTTCATTAAGCTATGGTTGTCTTGGTGACTAGTCTCTTTAAACTTGGCATTCTGATAAGTGTGGTGTCTTGTGTTGACACCGTTGCAGGAAAAACTGTACATAACTGGTTATATGGGCTGGAGTGCCCCTGGCAGTATCACCCCTATGATCAACCAAAAATGACTTGCTATCAGCTTTGTCCCCAGATTCCTGTCATGACACTGGTCTACCCCCTGGCCCTTGTGCTCAAAGAAGCATTGATTAATGGTCTGCTGAGTAAGCTGACTCTTGACCTAGGCACTGCCCATTGTACTAGCAGTTTAGTTACTTGCAGTGACTGTATAGTGGCAGACTCTTAGCCAACTCCCTCAGACAATCAGTCCATGCTGCGGTTACCACCGGGCCTAACTAGAAAAACATAGGCAGCAAATACCTGAGGATAAAACTTTGATTATTTAACATTGTGGCGATAAATCGTTCAAAAACTGAGTTGGATGACGTTATGGGCCCTGGAGTAGCACTTTAAAGGAGTTTGTGCTTTTACACTCTTGCCTAAGTTGACACTTGGAGGAAACTCATGCCTCATATTGAATACTATAGACAACTGTTTCCTTTAAAATGGCGTCCATGAAAAATTTCTTGTCTCTGCTACTTCTACAAAGCTGTCACTAGTTGGGCTCTGCAAAAGCTGTAGTTTTTGTCTAGCAGCAGTTCAAGATATCTGGCAAACACTAAAAGTAATTTAAACTTGGTGGCATTCATTTAATGAGAAGCTGATGTCTTCGCTCACCTCTAACTAGATGGTGAAACTTGCCCATCTCTCAGGCAATTGACTAATTGTCATTGGAGGGGTGGGGGGAGGTGAAACTAACTGATCTGAATCTAACAACTGATATTGCATTTCAACTCCGTCCAGGCCCACTGAGTTGGGGAAGAGTTTAATCATTCAGTTGCTTGTGAATGACCAGAAAGGGTAGAACTTTGACAGGAAGCCTAGATGGAGGCGCTTGGTGTCAGGATAGGTTTTCCTTTTATATCTATTCAGGTCCTCAAAGTTAAGAGCAAATCATGGGGATGTTGGCTACATTTTGTTCCACATGATTCCCTGAATCCTGTTAAGTGATTAGGTGAAACTTAGTGTGAGAAATTGAGGCCAGGTCTTCAGTATTCCTCTAAACTGCCCTAATTTTTTTTTTTAGGATGGAAATGGTTATATAAGCGCTGCAGAGTTGCGTCATGTGATGACAAATCTGGGTGAGAAATTAACGGACGAAGAAGTTGATGAGATGATCAGGGAAGCAGATATTGATGGGGATGGCCAAGTAAATTATGAAGGTAAACTTTCTTTTTTTTAATCATACTTTGAAGATGACTTTTACATTAAAACTGTTCTTTTATAGTTCAGATTTGTTTTTTGTTTTTCAGTAATTTTCTAAGTGTTTCAAACAATGTATTGGATATCAGATTTTTAAAATTTGCACACATACACTATTGGGCAATGTCTTCAGATTATTTTTATTTTCCCTTTTTTAAACATGTTTGTTAAAGGAACACTCAAAGCACTAGAACCACTACAGAGTGATGTGGTACTAGGAGAGTTCCTTAAGTTGGTAGGCAGTATTTGTTCTCACTTAGTTGTCCTTTTGGTTAATACAGTACTATCTTTCAACTTAGTTTAAACTTCTGTAAATGGTTTGTGTGGAGTCCCACTCCCCCTCTTCTAACTATTTTAACATGCAAATGTAGAGGTTTGAAACCACTGTCCTGACTAGAAATTGTATGGAAAGTCTATATATTGCTTTATTCAAACTGTTGTAACTATTCTATTTCTGCAACGCTTAAATACACTATATAACAGGAAATTATCCTGATGTTCCTACTTCTTCGTATGTCTTCCTGAAGATCTAATTTGAAGATTTAATATCCCAGCAGTCTGTACTCTCAATACAGTACATCTAAAACATGGTTACTCTTTCTTAATACACTTTTTTTCTTTTCCTTTTCAGAGTTTGTACAAATGATGACAGCAAAGTGAAGACTGTACAGAATGTGTTAAATTTCTTGTACAAAGATGTTTATTTGCCTTTCTTTGTTTGTAACTTATCTGTAAAATGTTTCTCCTTACTGTCAAATGCATGTATAGTAATTTAGAATTCCATTCATGTTTCCCATATTACTGTCAGTCTCATTTGTTTCAATGAAAAGTTGATCAAGTAACTAAAGCTGCATGTGGCTTACTCTGGAGTTCCTATAAGCCCATTGTGCACAAATGCTAGCTTGATGAATTTGTTCAAATGAGGGAACACCTAGAATCTAACTTCCCACTTAATTTTTTTTATATATAACTTCCCTCTTTAAAGCTGACTGACTTCAAGTAACCTGTTTGCTTGTTGGAATGTGGAGTAAACAACTCTAAATTAAAGATAGTTAACAATACTGAAATTATGTTGCACTAATGCAGAACTGGTATATCCAGGTACTTGTCTTGTACACTTATTTCTTTCCTTTCCTGCCCTTCTGTTCCTTTGCTCCAGTACAGTGTACATCTTCACTAGGCTTTTTAAAGATTCTTTTTGTGCCCACTTTCACTGCAGGACCTACAGCACATTAAACATTAGTGAGTTGTAAGTTCCTACACCAGTAAAAGTTTTCCTTTTTGTTTAGCCACTTTTCAGAAGAACCTGCTTATGGCACAATTTGCCTCAAATCCATTCCAAGTTGTATATTTGTTTTCCAATAAAAAAAAAATTTATTATGGCTTCCTTTTCTGTGACTTATTTTTGCAGTGTCAATTTCAAATACTGCTGCCTAGCACTTTCTTAGGCGATGTTCACTTTAGTAAAATGGTGTACAACACCTGTATCTGCATCGTTCAAGGGTACACTCAGGGTTTTTAATTGTGCATTGTAGTGTGGTTTTCTTTAGCACTCATTTTCTTTTGAGCAGGTTCGAACTCTACAAAATTAAACTGTAACTTGCGATGCTCAGGAGGTGTTGTCTAGCTATGTATCGCTGTGTATTATGGACACTTCTGTGTTATATTGGGCTCTTGAACTCTTAAAAACCTGAAGGGGAAAAAACATGCATTCAACTTGTCATGAACGCGCCAACCTAGCAGCAGTCTGGCAATCTGATTCATTAAATGAGATGTAGGAAAATCTGAAAGGGTATAATTGCCACTCTTCAATTGGCCACTGAGGACCTGCTCATAGGTCCTAGGTACGTTCATGTCACCTGTAACTTCTATAAACATTGTAACTTCACTGTTCTTGACTGGCATTATGGTGACCCTGTAGCTAGTCACTTGGAGTCTTTTAAACATGTCAACTCAAATTCCTTAAGTTGGTTCAATATTTTTATTTTTTTTACTAAATCTAGGGTGTTTATCAAGCAATGTATTTTAATGGGGTTCATTAAACAAATACAGTAGATTGTAAACTGCCAAATACAACTAGACAGGTGATACTCAAAAAAATAGAATTTCATGCAAAAGTTCATTTATTTCAGTAATGCAATGTAAAAGGAGAAACTAACGAGACGCATTACATGCAAAGCAAAATAGTTCAAGCTGTGATTTGTCATAAGTGCAATGATTATGGCTTACAGCTCATGAAAACCCCAAATCCACAATCTCAGTAAATTAGAATATTGTGAAAAGGTGCAATATTCTAGGCTCGGTGTCCCAGTCTAATCAGCTAAGTAAGCCATAACACCTGCAAAGGTTTCTGAGCCTTTAAATGGTCTCAGTCTGGTTCAGTAGGATTTGCAATCATGGCGAAGACTGACCTGACAGTTGAGCAGAAAACCATCACTGACACCCTCCATAAGGAGGGAAAGCCTCAAAAGAGAACTGCGAAGGAAATTGGATGTTCCAAAGTGCTGTATCAAAGCAAATTTTAAGAGAAAGTTGTGTGGCAGGAAAAGGTGCACAAGCAGCTGGGATGACTGCAGCCTGGAGAGGATTGTCAGGAAAAGGACATTCAAAAGTGTTGGACTTTCACAAGGAGTGGACTGAGGCTGGAGTCAGGGCTTCAAGAACCACCACACAGACCGTCCTGGACATGGGCTTCAGGTGTTGTATTCCTCTTGTCAAGCCACTCCTGAACAATGTCAGAAGCGTCTTATCTGGGCTAAAGAAAAACAGACCTAGTCTGTTGCTCAGTGGTCCAAAGTCCTCTTCTCATGAGAGCAACTTTTGCATCTCATTTGGAAACCAAGGACCCAGTCTGGAGGAAGAATGGAGAGGCACACACTGCAAGATGCTTGAAGTCCAGTGTGAAGTTTCCAGTCTGATTTGGGGAGCCATGTAGTCTGCTGGCGTTGGTCCACTGTGCTTAAAGTCCAGTGTCAACACAGCAGTCTACCAGGAGATTTAGGAGCACTTCAGGCTTCCTTCTGCAGACTTGCTTTATGGGGATACTCTACCTCAGCCATGCCACGCCGCATTGAGGCAGTAATTGCTGCAAAAGGGCCCAAACAAAGTACTGAGTCCATATGCATGCTTATACTTTTCAGAGGTCTGATATTCTATGTACACTCCTTGTTTTGACTGCATGTAATCTAATTTACTGAGATTGTGGATTTGGGGTTTTCATGAGCTGTAAGCCATAATCATCACTTATGACAAATCACGGCTTGAACGATCTTGCTTTGCATGTAATGCATCTCTCATATTTCCCCTTTTACGTCTAATTTTTCAAGTCACCTGTAAGTGAAAAAGAACACTATTCACTAAGGCAACTTTGGCTTAGTGAAGTGGTCTTGGTTTCTAGTTCATGCCCCTACAGTCTCACTGCTCAATTCTCTGCCATTCAGGGGTTTAATCTCTTTGTTTATGCTGCCCTGGTCACACCTCCCTGCATGTGACTTGAATAGCCTTCCTAAAGTGTCATCTAGTGTTTACATTACATTTATTGCACATTCTATCAAATTTAGAATTTTCACATCTCCTGCTTTAATGGCTTGCTTGACCTATAGGAGCATCCTGAATGTCTGTTCTCCTCCTTACAGAGCAGGAGATACTTTAAAAGTTTGTAAGTTGCATCTGAAAATGAAACTTTGTTTTCATTCTGGCTGATTAACTGCCTGGGGAGGTGTGACTAGTGCTACTTAAACAAACTGAAGTGGCAGTAAAACTTCAGAGGCATTATTAACCCACTAAAACTGCTTCAAGTTAGTTGATTTGGTGGCTATTGTCCCTTTTAACTCCTGAAAATCCACAATATCTAACCATGCTAGCAAGCAGTGGCTTTTTTTATTATGCAATCTGATACTTGTAAAAACAAGTGTGTAATAAATTCTTCTCCTCTTTGGAGTTGGCTATTTAAACAATGCAGTTTCTAAAGTAGCTTGTCATAGCACTGGTAACGGTCTGCTTGCATCTTTAAATTCTTGGCCATTAGGAGTTAAATATTTATGCAGCCCAAGTCACACCTCCTGATATGTGACTTACATAGTCTTCCTAAGCACTTAATTTAAAGCAAAATGTAATGTTTAAACATCCTTTTTATTGTAGATTCTGTTTAAATTAGACCTAATCTGCTCATTTAGCCTGCAGCAGCCTCATATCTGAATCGGTTTACTCTTCTAGAGGAAGATCTGATTAAAAATGAACCCATCCAGGGGCTGTGGCTAGGGCTACATAAACCAGAACAACCCTGATTTAAAGGATAACTGTCACACATTTAATAGATCTTGTTTTATATGTTTAAATTAAATTCTAATTTTTAGATATGAAGTATATTAAATTATAAAAAAAATTATCCCTACCTATAAGAATTTGAAAGGATCCTTCAGCTATCTACTTTGGGTGCTTGAATTTGGCAGTTTAGATGTCACTGCATTGTGCAGGGAAGACAATAGATTATCAGGTTCAAGTTTTCCATGTATATGGATGGATTCTGTTGTGTACTAAAGGTAGGTATGAGGTTTTGACACTCATTATTTTACTTTTAATAGAGCTTTCCTTTCAAAACTTGAAATGATTATTCTACTAAAATATAGCAATTGAGTTATTTAATGTCTAATAGGCAGAGAATTGGGCAGTGAGAATGCAAGGACATGATTTATATACAATAAACCTGATAGACCCCAAAACCACTTTAGCTTAATGAAGCAGTTTGGTGAATAGAACATGCCCTTGCATTCTGATTAGTTCTTTTTATTTATACAGCCCTAGTCAGTGCCCCTGCATATAAGGTGCACAGCCTTCCCAAACCCTTCCTTTTCAGTCTGTTTAATCTAGAATGTATCTCCTGCTCTGTTAATGGCCTTCTAGACCCTGCAGGAGTCTCCTGTGTGTGTGTGTGTGTGTGTTTAAAGTTAAAGCAGAAGATGTTTCCGTATTAAGTTTACATCTGAAAATAAACTATTTAATTTTTTCTCCCTTCATGCAGGCTGTCACAGCCAGGGGTGGTGTGACTGTGGTTGCCTAATGTAAATGGCAGACAATTGAGCAGTGACTCCAGGGGTATGAGTGTATATATGGTTTCATTTTGCTAAAGTATGGTTTTAATTTTTTTTCTCTTTCCGTCAAATTTGCAGGCAGTAAACGGTCACATCTATCTGTTCTAGAGACTTGTAACCTTTTCTGCAGCTGTACGGCAGCCCATTAAAGCTGTCATTTAAGCTGTTGAAATGGTTCTGGTTCATGTTGCCTGTATAAATTTCCGCCTTCTCCACATTTTGCACAAGGATTTTTCTCCTATGTGGGAATTAGGCAGTCACCTTCAGCTGTGCCAATTGGTGCATGACCCACAGCTGGCTGCATTATGGCTACAATCCATTCACGCCAAGAAGAGCACCACCGTTGAAGTGTGAGCTACATATCCTATAAACCTTAGCTTGGTGGTTATCGGATTAGTCTCTCCCAGTTGTAGCTGCAGACAGACTCCTCCTTAAAAAATCTTTCTTTTCATTTTTTAATGCATCAAAAAACAGGCAATTTTACACCATAGTTTCCTTTTTCTGTGACCAGAACCTTTACAATACACGCCTAATGGTATGTTTATATACATAGACAGCCATTGTGAAATTCATAAATGTACTATAGAAATGGAAATCTTTAACGGAATTGTTGAATTTCATTAAAAAAAAACATTTAGTAAATATGGCTGAAATCTTAAAGGGCCACTCCACACCCCAAAACCATTGCTTAAGTGCTTTATGGGTGAAGAGGACTCTAGTGTATCTCCAGTTTATGAAAGCTTTTTATAAATCAACTATGGTACTCCTCCATTAGACCAGCTCCTCAGCTTCAGTCATACGTGGGTACCAAGTCAGCCTCTGGTTAGTTTCCTGTGAAGAGACTGAAAGTCTCTTCTGGGGGAAAAAGGGAAGGGCTTACAAAGGCTGCAGTCATAAGGACTGCAGCTTTGTAATCTTTTATACTACACTTCCAATAAATACATGCATAAAAAATATGTTAAAAAAAAAAAGGGAAGGTACTAGTGCTTATATAAAAATTATAGATGGTATCTCTGAATATGACAGTAGCAGCTAAACACCAAAAAGTGCAACTTTTCCAAAAAAACACCAACAGATAAAAGATACAGAAGTGTAGCACTATATAAAAAATATTTGTTTAAGAACAACCTTGGTGCTTTTAAGTATTTCTTCCAGAACCTAGAAATACATATAGTACAATAAAATTGTATGGAAGCAAAGTTTATAAATAGAACAAAAACAATTAGAAATGTGTCTTGAAGGCGCTTATAATTTTTAGAGAAAAAGATAATAGTAGCAGCTACCACCAAAATAGAGACTCTCTTCCCTATAAATCAGTACATAAAACAAGTGTACACACAGTGAAGGAGAATATAATAATAGAAACCACCACTGGTGTATATGTGGAGCGCTTAGGAATATATAGACTTACCCGTATGGGTTAATACACAAGTGTATAGGAGGCATATCGCAGTACATATATCTGAAATAGATAAGTGCAAGTAACGTTTGTGAGTGATCCAGTGTATAACTAATCTATATGGTCTCACTCACATGCTACAGAGCCGTACTGGATAGGCTCAGTATCAGTGAGTGTACTTATGGTGACACGGTACCCAATCGATCCTCCTTTTGCCAGTAAATCCTTATACATATAAAAGAGGAGAGCAAGGGGAACAGGAGAAGCAAGATGCACCTAGTGTAATAACTTCCAGTGACCAGTGCATGTAATGGTAGGAAATTGACTTCTCACCTGATAAGGAGCCCAATACCTGGCTCCTGGTGTAGAGGTATATGTGCCTTAAAGGGGGCCCTTTGTAGCAGAGCACTAGTATCCCATAGACTTCTCCGCTGGTATTAAATAGTAATGCAGAAACAAGAAGTTAATCCAGGATGAACAGCAGCAATAGCAAATAATTAATCCAGTAATATCACATCACGATTCCCAATAACTGGATGACGCACAGTATCAGGAGCAGAACTGAAGATTTATTCCACATACCTTGCTTATATGCATCCCTCCCATGCAAGGGAGACACCCACAGTAATTAGTACAGTAACCAATCATTTACATGTTACCTCCCACACATCTCCCCTCAGCTTAACAGATAATTTACTTATACAGTACATGGTTTTCCACTGTTTTTAGATGTACCCCAAATATACCAGTTAGACCCCTAATCTGGGTGAACAACATATTCAAAAATCACTCAGATCAGACCAGGGGTTTCGGGAGTTAGGTGGAAGTGTTCATTTGACTGACCGCACACGAGGTAGTAGCCGAAATCAGTTCCAAACATTTTAGCCTTGCGGTCGGTCTTTGTTCATGGGGTAAAAGAAATTCCTTGACATCCATGGTTGGATCCATGGTTGTACCCACCCACCGCTCAGGGGTCGGGGCCAGGGGGGAGGACATTAGGTCCCCCCCTATTTAGTATTTTAGGGCCCCCACCCACTGCTCATGGGTGGGTGCCTGGGTAGGACATTAGGTCCCCCCCCTCCTGCTCACGGGTGGGGGCCAGGGGATGAGGTCATTAGGTATATCATATTAAAATCACTCCATAAGTAGTAAATCACACAGGTTAAAATAACAAAGATAATAAGGGAGCCCATAGTAATAGCCCAAACAGTTGCTGTATAAATGATATATTAAAAATGGTATCAATTCTTACAGCATAAAATTGGACTAAAAGTTATATATAAATTGTATAGGAAATATAATAATTACAGAAAAATTATATAAAATAGGAGACGAAGAGGATTTAAAAATATAAATAAAAACCCCTAAATAACATAATTAATTTGTGAACACATAAAACAAGGATATATAATTCCTAAATATTCGGTAGACACTAAAATGATAAATATTTAAAATTAAGATATCTCATAAAAAGTGGCATAATTCAAAATCTGAATTATGGCAATGCGGAATAAGGGTGTTCATTTTAAAAATCCACTCCATTTCCACTTGTCCCAATCCTTGAATAAAATCACCTCTTCTCCAATTTTTTTCTACTTTTTTCAGACCTAAAAATACCAAACCTTTCACATCTTGAGTATGATGCTGTTTAAAGTGATAGGAGACACTATGTTTCTCAAATACTATATTGATATTACAAATATGTTCTCCAATCCTCACATGCAGTGGTCTGGTAGTGCGACCTATGTATGTCAAGCAACATGGGCGTTTAAGAAGACAGATTATATTTTTTGAATAACAGGTGATGAACTCTTTTATGGGTATAGTTTTACCCTCCTTGATATAGATGGTCTTAATAATTCTTCTAGCATTGCCTGATTTTTTTTAAAGGCTGAACATTGTCCACAGCCATAAAAACCCTTTTCGTTTTTAAAAATTGTAGGGAGACTCTTTTTTTCTTTAATAAAACTATTTACCAACAAACTTCTTAGATTAGATTCCTAACTCCTCTATGAATAAATCTGGGATTATCAGGTAAAAAAAAGTTCTTAACACTTGGTCTTGTAGTAGTATGGGCCAAAATTTCTTAATAATTTTACGAACTTGATAATTTTTTACATTAAAATTGCAGATTAGTGAGATATCTTTCACCTCATTATCCTTAATTTTTTATTTTTTTTTCAACACATTTGTTCTCTCTTTATCTTTTATTTCCAGTCTGGAAAGTTCTAGTTTGTGTTCCTCATAGCCCTTATCTAAAAAATCTTTCTTAATTCTTAGGGATTGGTTTTCATAGGTCTCTAAATCAGTGCAGTTACACAGAATCCTCAAGAACTGGAATTTCATGGCATTCTCCATCCAGGGAGTATAATGACAACTTGTACATTCGATAAAACTACTACAATCTACTGATTTAAAATGTTTTTTAGTCTGTATATCTCTTTAAATAGATGTTAAGATCTAAAAAGACAACATCTTCCTGACTCCATGTACTAGTGAGTTTAATTCCCCATGTGTTATCATTTAAAAAAGAAGAATTCCTCCAATGTGCCAACATCTCCCTTCCAGATAAAAAATATCTGTATACCATTTATACAGCAACTGTTTGGGTTATGATAATGGGCTCCCTTATTATCTTTGCTATTTTACACTATGGGTGATTTACAACTTATGGAGTTTTTTTTTATATGATTGTATACTTTTAGTATGTGATTTGAATGAATAAGTTTTTATATTATTATCTTTTAATGGTTATCCACATATGTGTGAATTTTGTCGGTTTATTTATTTCATAATCAATTTGATTGGAGTGATTAAGAACTAACATGTTGGGTTATGAGTCCATCTATGAATGATCCATAGAACTATCCCTGAATGAACTACAGATCAATCGGCAATTGCTGCGTTGTTCAGAAGATCGTGGAAGGGAAAGACGAAAGTACTTCTGACGTCACAATCTCATAATGAGGCTTGGAACTCAGGGAAGTAACGAGATGCCTCAAGAGAATCAAGACCTGACAGAACTCCAGGTGAGAATGTCTGCTGGGATGTTTGATTCATGACCATGGAGACCTAAAAGGCTTTACGTATTACCCAATATGGTAATTACATAGCAGCTATACCAGGAGATGATTCCCTCACTAGGAGGGTATATAAACACAAGTCGGGGAACTAAGGATCTACACAACATTTATCCGGTTGAGGAAGCCACATCAAGTGGTGAAACGCGTACCGGTACTTTTATGGACATTGCTCCTTATTTTATTTGTGTGTTTTACTATATGCTTCAACAAATCTATGCAAACTTTTATTTTGGGTCTCGGCTTCTATGAGACATCTATTTAACCCCTTAAGGACACATGACATTTGTGACATGTCATGATTCCCTTTTATTCCAGAAATGTGGTCCTTAACGGGTCAAAGAGGGAGTATAGCCTTATATCTCTGTGTTTGTAAAAACTGATTTGGCATCAGTTTTTTTTAACTTTGCTCCTTACTGTACTATCCTATCGTATGTTTATGTACTGTTTATTAGGACAGGATATACATTCTCCATAGCGCCAGGTCGCCTAAACGGACCCAGACGCTATCCACACCGGAGCTAGGTTTTATAGCTCCCTGTTTGTGAGTGTTCTATTTACAAACCTTGCTTCTATACAATTTTGTTTATTTAAGAGTTGCACTATCTGGTACTATTTGTATTTCTAGATTCTAGAGTCTGTTGGATGCAGTGATAGTTAACGACTGTTGCATTCCACGTGTTTCACAAAATGCATGGGAGCTCTGGTGTTTTCTTCCTTACTCTATATTTTACCAAAATAAAGCTTAGAGGGGAACTGACACTTCTCTTTTAATTTTTTTTTAGTGAGGATATAACAAATTACATAATAAACCAGTTCAGACAATGCAAACCCAATTCAGATACTGTAAATGAAGAAGAGAAATGGAAATAAAGTTTCATGCTTCCTCTTCTCTATATACTCTGTTTGCTGATTGCCAGGCTCAAAGGACAGAGCTTAAAACAATAATTGACAGGGACCTCAGATGGAGGCGTCCAGATGCAAGATAAAGAAGTGTTGGATTCTACACTTAATTTTATTTTTCACACCTCACAAATTTCTCAGTTATTAAATGTAGGGATAAATATAATATTATAAATCCTGGGAAGTGAAGGTTCCACTTTGAGTTTCACACTTGCCTTAGTTAACTAGAAATAATATTGCTTTAAAAGGGCAATATAGTTTCAGTAACACAAATGTTTATTCCTCTAGCCTCTTGATTTACTCACCTTTTTCCACTGTCGCATGGGTCTCCATGTCTTTGGCCATGCCCCCAATCTGCCTCCTTGGCTGACATTATCAGAATTGATGATCTCAGCCAATCACAAGGGGAGCTGGGACAAGAGAGACAGACCCTAACTCCCAACTACCGTACATTTTAACCAGCGTGTGTGAATCTGGATCAGTGTGTATATCTTTATGTTTGTCAATGTGTGTCTGTATCTGCATGTGTGCCAGTGTGTGTTTCTATACGTCTGTGTATCTGCATGTGTGTCAGTGTTTGTATCTGTATTTGTATCAGTGTGTATCTGAGTATCAGTGTGTATATCTGTGTGTGTATGTTGTCAGTGTGTGTATTTGTGTGGATACATATCTGCATGTGTCAGTGTTTGTATATCTTTGTATCTGCATATGTTTTAGTGTGTGTCTGTGTATAGATTTCAGTATTCAAACACCAACACAACACACAAACAAATCTCTGTATCAAAAAACAAAATTATATATAAACACGTCACTGCATTTAAAAACCACACTACACACAAATGCACGCTTTTATTCAAACACAAATCCAATATTCACACAAACATACTCCCTACAAAAACATGCTTATGTTCAAACACACAAACATTGTAGAAGGGAAGAGTTAGCAATATGGCCATGGCTACCAAGTATCAGCCATGATTGAATCAATGCTTCTCTAAGGGAAACGTTTAGCGTCTCCATGCAGAGCATGAAGATGCTGAACGTCAGAAACATAGAAACATAGAATGTGACGGCAGATAAGAACCATTCGGTCCATCTAGTCTGCCCAATTTTCTAAATACTTTCATTAGTCCCTAGCCTTATCTTATAGTTAGGATAGCCTTATGCCTATCCTAAGCATGCTTAAATTCCTTTACTGTGTTAACCTCTACCACTTCAGCTGGAAGGCTATTCCATGCATTCACTACCCTCTCAGTAAAGTAATACTTCACAGTGTGCAGCAATGACCCAGTAAGCACCTCTATTGGCCGTCTGAGTGACTGCCACTGGAGGTGTCCCTAGGCTGTAATAAAAACACTGCCTTTCCTCTGAAAACACAGTGTTTACATTAAAAAGCCTGCAGGGACTGACTATACACAGCAGAACAACTACATTAAACTGTAGTTTTAATGGTGACTATAGTGTCCCTTTAATAAAGGCAATCGTGCCCAGCCTATTCGTGGGGTTTAATTCACCTCTAAGAGTAACTGAGCACTTTCATGAGTAATTTAAATATTGCCTATCAATTCCATTGCGCTTAAGACTTGTTTAACCTGTCCTGTGATCCCTTAAATATAACAATGGGTTACACTCTGCAGTCAGTAGATAGATGCCATAGGTATCATTGAGAAGAACAATTAGAGTGTAGCATGCATTTTCTTGATTATCTGGTTGGGTCAGACCACTGACTTGCTTGAGAGATGCAGAGGAATGCTTGGTAGCTTAGAAACCAAGTGAAACAGACATGGCGGCCGTGGGCTTTAGCCGAAAATCAAGTGGGAAAAGGATCATTGAAAATGACAAGGTAATTGACTGAAATAGAAACTTAGTGTAACTCTGTCTATGCTATACGACTGGAGTCAGCATCCCCTTGACTGTGAAATGTTTAATATATCAGGGGGGACTTGCAGGCTATAAACAGATAGGATTAAACTACGTTACTTGATTAATGTAAAACTTACATTCTGAAATCTAATCTGGTCCCAACTGCAGTAGCTCAGATACCGTGTTTCTAATTCTTGCTCTAGGAGCTGGCTCAGTCCGCCTGTCACTCGAAGGTAGCTCGACGTAATGGGAGTTATGTGCCAATTGGCAATTCTGGTGCAAAGTTGTTAAATATGGAGCTGTCACCATGAAGGCGACTGGAAGGCTCACGATGACTGCAGAATTGCATTTCCGCACTTTTCCCCGTAAATACTCTAAATCCATGAATATGTATGTACACTGGAGTAGCTATACTAGTCCAGTTATTCTAATGTTAACAGGAATATTGGAGTAAATCGTGAACATTTTTAATGGACTATCAATAGCTTTTAAAATGTTTTTAAAACAATCTTTTGAAAGTTTCCTCTGCTTGTCAGACCACGAGCAAAACTGATTTATATGATGGCATTTAACATGTCTAACATAACACAGGTGACATAGTTAAAGCAACACTATAGTCACCTAAATTACTTTAGCTAAATAAAGCAGTTTTAGTGTATAGATCATTCCCCTGCAATTTCACTGCTCAATTCACTGTCATTTAGGAGTTAAATCACTTTGTTTCTATTTATGCAGCCCTAGCCACACCTCCCCTGGCTATGATTGACAGAGCCTGCATGAAAAAAAAACTGGTTTCACTTTTAAACAGATTTAATTTACCTTAAATAATTGTATCTCAATCTCTAAATTGAACTTTAATCACATACAGGAGGCTCTTGCAGGGTCTAGCAAGCTATTAACATAGCAGGGGATAAGAAAATCTTAATTAAACAGAACTTGCAATAAAGAAAGCCTAAATAGGGCTCTCTTTACAGGAAGTGTTTATGGAAGGCTGTGCAAGTCACATGCAGGGAGGTGTGACTAGGGTTCATAAACAAAGGGATTTAACTCCTAAATGGCAGAGGATTGAGCAGTGAGGCTGCAGGGGCATGTTCTATACACCAAAACTGCTTCATTAAGCTAAAGTTGTTCAGGTGACTATAGTGTCCCTTTAATATTGCACTTATGTTAAATTTACTTTTGTAGTCATGTACACAGTCTTATTGCAAATTAACTGCTAATGTTGTCTCTCCCATTAAACATGCGGGAGTGAAAGTGAGATATAATATGTGCTAAAATACATCTCACAGAAAGATTTTCCGAGGGACAACAGCCCCATATTTATTTATTTATATGTTTAATATCAAGCTAGTTCCCCGTCACCCTGGTACTTGTAATGCCAAGCTCCTGTCTGCTCCCAATGTCCCTAAATGTATGTAAATTGGAAGTGGTTGTAGATTCAAAGAATTGGGTGAAGGGATACTCTTTAGCAAGGCACATAGGTAGTTATGGCCTTTAGAGTGGCCATGTGCAATATGTGATTGTTTGAAAGATAAATGTTTGACTTCTCCAATCACAAATTAAAAGTACATTGCTGAAATGTATTGAGATTTTCCTTATATATTAGCTGTTGTTTTGTGTTGGTTAATAATTTTACCAAAATTGTGGACCTAGATAAAAGATGAAGATGTGGAAATGTCACCTGATAATGCTAAAACCAGAAACAAGGTATATTTTATTTTTATATTGTAATAAAACTAACACAAACAGACCAACCGAGAAAGAGATGATGGATGGATGGATGGCATATAATCCTCAAACTCCATCCCCTTAGTCAAAGTGTGAGGTGTTACAAAGTGTCGAAATGTGGGCACAGAGTGTTTATTCTGGAAGTAGAAATTCTATAGTTGTTTTTGAGCTAAATATCCCATGATTCCATGTAGTGCAGGTGCAAAGAATAAATGTGGAGCACATAGTACCAGCCTTAGAATTCTGAATACGTTTTCAGCTAATATTATGTGTCTGTCAAACTGATCACGTCTAGCCTTTAGCACAGTGGCTGTTATGGGTAATTTTCCCATGATTCTCAGCAAACCAAATGGTAAGTGACATAGATAACAAAGATAAAAGCAATGAGTAGTTGAGCAGCAATGTAGTCTACAACAGTTTGAGCCCTCAAGGATAGCTATTCGGCTGAGTGAGAACTGAAATTACATGGTGCAAGGATATTTTTTTTTAAACCCAACTCTATTAACACTTACAATCTTTAATCATGGGGTAAATGGAGTGTGTCTTAATGTAGTGCGGAGGTTTTAGGGTTTTTTATTTTTTTATTTTTCCAATTACTTTGTTTGTTTGTTTGTTTTTTTAACTGATTTTGGTTCTATTCTAAATTCATCCTTTCACAATGAAATATTACAGATTAAACTCATTTTTAGATTAACACTAAGAAAGGAATTTTGAACCATAGAAAAATGTATTGCTGCTGTAATTTGAGGGCAACATAGCTGACCTGTAAAATTTCTCCAAATAAGCTATTTTTCAACTTTTGGTTATAAACTAAACATTCGGTTAAATTTAGAAGTCCTTTTACAATCTCCCATTAATTCCTTATTTCGGGAAAAATCCACCTATTACAATTACAATTCTTATCTATTCTTTCTTAGAAGGAAAGTGATTGTCAGGATTAAAACTGAATTTATGGCCATTGCAATGCAATCTACTATTTGTAGGATAGATGCAATGGCTGGAGATCATGGATATATCAGTATAAAGCAGATGTAAGGTTACTGATCACTTATAACAGGCTACATGGAGTTATTAAACAAAGTACAATTTAGGGTTCTGTGTTCTTTCAGAATGATGAAAAGAGAAAGCAATTGCCTGAAAGAGGATCATGGTGGATAACAACATTAAAGGTACATGTTTTTTTTTGAGTGTATTAGATCAAGGAAATTATTCAATAAACAGGGAAAGTGAAGGCCACACATTCAAACTTTAGTTTAGCTGTTATTTTTACTGCATGCGCTGTGTTAGCAACTAATAGCTGGCTAGAATGTAGATATTCAGGATGAAATGCTATACTTATCTCGCAGCATTTGCAAGCTGTAGGCTCCAAATGCCCTTGCACCTCTACCATCAAGTACCTGCCCCCTATATATAGGGGGGTAGTATTAGGCTGTACGTTTTTATGACAACTACATTTTGATTGTTTTATTCCCTTTATGGTCCCTAAGGAAGTCTTCTGTGAGGATGAAGCACGTTGGACCTTTTGCATTTTACTACATATTTTATTGTGTGTAAATTTTTTTTAAATGAATCTCTTTAAGTACCTGCCTTGATCCCTTAGATTTTTTCTTGGTTTGGCAACATGAAAGGTGAAGAAGTCTCTGCCCCTCCCACCCCCTCCCGACATTGGAGAAGGCACTTTAAGGTGTTTTATCCATCTCTTCTGTGAATGCAACCATTATAGTACTGTTCTACATAGTCACTCACTATGCGTTCTAATTCCTTTACAGATACACAGCTGTATCCCTTTCGTTCCATATATTACCTGTCCCATATTATTATGCATTGCAAACTTCCACTCAATGCACTGTAGCAAGGTCTATGTCATCAGTAAATGGCTTCATCACTAAGGCAGAGGTGCTTTATCAGGGCTGGACCGAGATCACATCTTTAATAAGGTGGGCTAGACAGTTGCCTAGAAAACCACATTTTAGAGATGTCATGGGAGGCAATTAGGTGTATCTCATGAAGAGCCCTAGATTACAAATTTTACCCATTTGTGCCCATGCCCTGTGTGCTCTGCCTATATTCCATCACTAGCGACTATATTTACATTTTTTTAACATGATAGAATTCCTTGTGGGCTTCATGCCAAGAGGCTCCCATAATGTTATGCCAACTCTGAAATCTAGGAGATCTGATACGAATGTGCATTCTCTTTGAAAAGTGTGCATCTGTCTTACCAGGAAACCCCTCCTCCAGGCATGTATGAAATTCGTGATTTTCTCCAAGACGCACAACTAAATCCTGTGCAGAAATCATATAATTTTAAAGGAGAGGGAAGAAAAAAGAAGATAAACACAGGCCCAGCTGGAGAGATGTTGCTACCTGGCTGTTACAATTTCCCTGATTTGGTTTATTTGACAGCAAAACTCCCACAGACTTATTCCTTCAAGAATACCTCAAGACGAGGTACTCTAATTGGTGTGAAAGACAAGGTACAGTAGACATTTTCCATTATTATAATAAAGTATTTATAGTGTGCTAACCTCTCCCAAGGACGCTCAAACTACTCTGCAAACGGTGTCAGAATTGACTAAATTGCCAGGTGATAAATATGTCTTAACATTAAATCATATGCATCAACTAAGTGAGGCATTTTATGAACTTCAGAAGGATGAAACAATTACATGTTACTGCTGGTACTAGAACATGCAACTCTAAAGTTGCGAATAGGTATAGGCAGGAATTGACCCTCCACCCCATATTTTAATGCATTATATAGATAATGAGCTAAAACATATAAGCAAAAAAGTAAATTTGCCTTCAAAGTTCATTAAAGCAGCTGCACTTACAGAGGCAAACATGTACAGATTCCACCAATTAGGAGTCTCATTCTGATTTATAGGGATTTTACTATCCCATCTACTTCGGCCCAGCAGATTTAGAGGGACACTCCATTGCCCAAATACAAAATAAATAAGAACCACTGTTTTTTTTTCATTTGGAGAGATCTAAAAACAGCTTCCAAAACCTGCAGATCTCATGTCTGAAGCTTTTGCAAGCCCTCCCCTTCTAGCCCCGACAGACTTTCTGTGGCTGTCCAATCACAGACTTCCCAATGCAACTCAATGCAAGGCAGGTGCTCTCTGCAATTAGCCCATTGAGCAAACCAATCCAGGAAGTAACAGGACCTGTTGTCTGATTGACAGCCAGGGGGATGTAACCAGATGAATTTTTAAAACGTGTCAATTTCTATTGAAATCTTCCTTTTTGTTAAATGAAAATAGTAGGACAGACACTGTACACATTTTCTGCAAGATAAAGTGCTGTAAAGGTCTGAAGTGTTCCTTTAATGGGACACATAGTTTACCCCCCAACCTCACTTCCGTTTATCCTATATGATAAGTGGAACTACTCTACTAGCTGATACCAGCCAGGCTATAACTGCTATCAGGTTATACACAGCCCAAATCATAGTTTTGCACTTAAAGAGTTCACGGGTAACTGAGATCACATCATGTATATCATTTTGATTAACTTAATTAAACTTGATACAAATAATTTTTATTGCTGCTTCCCAGTAAATCCATAGCTGGAACATTAAACAAATAAGTCAACAAAAAAGGATACATAATGCTGGGAATTATCGTCAGGAAAAATGATGCCAACATTCTAGAGACATAAATGAATAAGTTTTCGGTCGTGTGGTTTATTATGAAGTCTCCAGACCCCCTCAGTGGTGTTAATTTCCCATAACATACAGATCGCAGTTACATTTATAGAAGTGTATAGTAATATGTGCTCAGGTTTTGTAATTTGTGAGTAATTAGAGCATTGTGGTGTAGAGTGCCTCATTGCTAGAGATGGACAGCTGGTATACCTGGCACTGCATTGCATCACCAATCTCTTTGACAGGTGCTCTAGGTTTATGTAACAGTGATGTCCCCACTCAGCTAGTCTGCACTGAATGATATCAATTAGGTAATGAAATGAAATACAAACTCAGTGCTTAGTTTATTTTTAGCAGGCCAGGCACATCATATAAAAAATGTCTATGCTACACAAGTATTTGCCATAGTGCACTCAGTCCGTATGATTACAACTTCCATATATTGACTGGAGACTTCTTTTACTAGAAAAAGAAATGATTAAATATATACCGTAGATTGAGACTTCTTTGCTATTGTGTGTCTTCTGTACAGAGAAAGGTTAAAGCATCCAACTAGCCGTACCCCCTACTTAGGAAATCACAGGGGCAAGAAACATGCTTCTATAATAATCATTCATTTACAAGCACTAATTAATGATGGTAATGAGTATTACAGGTATTAGTTCTTTGCTTGTTGTTTATTCATACTACGGTAATTAATAATAAATTGGGCTACTTCATCTTAATTAATGCAGATTACTTTAATTCCCATTCTAGGTGATATGATTTTTAAAGTGCTGTCCCCTGTTATCAGAGTTTGCATCTTCACAGTCTTCACAGTATTTAATTTAATAATATATACTTATTGCATAATTTCCCACTTGCCTGCTGGATCATTTTCGACACATCTGTTTCTTCTGTCAAAACTACAGCTTACTTTAAAGGGACACTATAGTCACCAAAACAGTTTTAGCTTAATGAAGTAGTTAAGGTGTATAGATCAGCCCCTGCAGTCTCACTACTCAATTCTCTGCTATTTCAGAGTTAAATCACTTTGTTTATGCAGCCCTAGGCACACCTTCCTGCATGTGACTCACACAGCCTTCCTAAACACTTCCTGCAAAGATTCATCTAATATTTATACTTCCTTTATTTTAAAAGCTGTTTAATTTAGAATTTCTTATCTCTTGCTCTGTTAATAGCTTGACAGACACTGGAGGAACCTCCTGTGTGTGTTTAAAGTTCAAATGACAGAGCAGGAGATAAAAAATATTTGAAAAAGTTACATCTAATTGAAAATAAAACCATTTTGTTTTCATGTAGGCTGTGGAAGTCACAGCCAGGGGAGGTGTACCTAGGCCTGCATAAACAGAAACAAAAGTGATATAACTCCTAAATGACAGAGAATTGAGCAATACAACTTCAGAGGCATGATCTATTCAAAATCAGGACAGTCCCGCCAGATCCAGGACTGTTGAGGAGGTGTGTGTGTATCATGATAATGGTATGTGTGTGTTTATGATTGTTTGGGTGTATTTGTGTAAAGGGTCAGTTTGTGTGTGTGTTTGATTGAAGACTTTCATATATGTAATGGGTCAGTGTAAAATGATTAATGTGTGTGATTGTAGGTGTGTATTTGTGTAAAGAGTCAGTGTGTGTGTTTCATTCTAGGGGTGCGAACTGTTAGTAGTGCATGAAGGGTTGGATTTGTGCATAGTGTCAATCTATGTGAATGCAGTTTGTATTGGGTGTACCAGCTTCCTCTGATTCTTATTATATCAGGTACATCTCCTTCATGTCAGCGCCCACACTTCCCTGTCATCATCTCTAGCCTCTATCCATGCTATCGCTAATGATAGAAAGGAAGATACATTCACAGACACGAATGTGGGATCTGACCTGTCTCTTCCTTCCTGCTCTCTACAACATATAATGATGTAGCAACAATCAAGAAATTGTATTTCCATGAAAACCATTATCTAATTTTTAAGTCAGACATGTTTAAGTCAGAGAAGAACAGTTTGTATAATGTCTCATTCATAAAATAATCATTCTTAGCTATTTCTGCATTGGCATGAAGACACAAATAGCAATGCAAATTATTAAAATCCTCAGTGGAAACAACAAAAACATGTGTTGTATTTTATAACAAAATAATTTTGTTTAATGATTTTTAATTTGAGACAAACTGTGAATAGTGATGTCCCGAACGGTTCGCCGAACGGTTCGCCACGGACGGCGAATATATGACCCTGTACCTCACAGTCAGCAGACACATTCCAGCCAATCAGCAGCAGACCCTCCCTCCCAGACCCTCCCACCTCCTGGACAGCTCACTAAGAATGCAGCTTCAAAATGGATGCTGTCCAGGAGGTGGAAGGGTCTGGGAGGGAGGGTCTGCTGCTGATTGGCTGGAATGTGTCTGCCGACTGTGAGGTATAGGGTCATATGTTCGCCGTCCGCGGCGATCCGTTCGGCGAACCGTTCGGGACATCACTACTGTGAAGTCTTTCTATATAGTGGAACACACACAGTGTTGCTATACGGTGATATTTGTACTTTGATCCCGGAGGCTAGTTACTCCTTCCCCTCCGCCCCAGCACACGCAACTCAGGAAGTTAATTCTGTGCAAATATTACTTCTGTCTTCTGAGAATTACAGGGTTTAAGGTTTCAGGGTTTAACCCCTTAAGGACCAAACTTCTGGAATAAAAGGGAATCATGACATGTCACACATGTAATGTGTCCTTAAGGGGTTAAACAGGGGAGGTGAGACAAGGTTATGCCAATATGGTATTATAACTAAAAAGAGAATAGTGAAAAATGGTTTTTATATATATATATATATATATATATAATGCTTTAATGCCTCCTTGAAGATTCAACATTCCTTTCAACTTCTTGCAGGATATCAACACCACACCATGCCAATATTATGTTGACAGTCCACCTGTTGAAATTCTTCCATGCAAGTAAGTACACAAATTATTACAAATTAACTATGCAGCAGAACTAATCAGAATTAGACTGGGGGTAGGGAAAGAAGCATGTACACAACAAGTAATTCTTACCCAACCAGAGTGTTTGTTGATTCACTATTAAAAACACACCCTGCAATATCACAAATCAATGGATTAACAATGCCACAATCACCAGAGTTTTATTTCCCAGAGCTTATTTTTGCACCATTTTTTACTGTATGTATAATTGTCACAAACCAGATGGGATCCTCAGCAAGATATAGGTTGCCAATCAAATAAAAGGCACCATAAGAAATATAGGTACATAGGTTTATTACAGACCTTAGAGTGGCCAGGCTTACCGCTTAGAAATAGCAAGTATTAGTACTAAAAAACCATAAAACTTAAATCCGAATCACAAAATTCATGGTGAAAACATAGCCAGATCAGCAAAACCAGAATTTAGGGACAAGACTAGACAGGTTAAAAAACAAAAAGACTAAGAGCCAAAAGGAAACGCCGTGAAATAGTGCTGGTGCAAAGGAAGCAGGAGTTTAAATAGCACTAGGCACTAATGACATCATCAGCTAGCATCAGGGGGAACATGTACTTTGTATATTGATACTGCAATAAGAACTAGAAAATATCAATAAAAGACGCCAACAACGCAACTTAGATTGATCTAGGAATTAACAGGATCAGAGAGACACAAGCGAAAGCAAGTAGCGACAAACGTGCATCCAGATGATCACAAGTGCGCTAAAATTGATGCTGGAGTGTTAGATTCAGTAGGTGACCTTATTATAATAGAACAGAGTTCCCATAAAATTCTGTCTGAGAGAATTGAAAGTAAGAGTATTGATAGAGGACAGGCAAAGATCACGAGAAGATTGGAAGAACCAAGATTGGCTGTGCCAACTAATTAGAGATAATCATTTTGAGTACAGTTTCCAGTTGAGAGCTTTCCAGTTGAGTACTGCTGTTTTAAATTGAAGTTGAATTTATTGAAAAAGAAGGAAGTGAAAGCTAAGAAGGTGTGAAATTGTGTTTGAGATGTATGATGAGAATTTGGATAGTGCAGTTTAATAGAGACAAGAAGAAACAGGAGGTCCACAATGTCAAAATCATAAAAAAATGCCGAAAAGAATTAGTAGAAGGTTATGATCCTTGCATTTTGTAGGAATTAACCCCTTAAAGACACATGTCAGAAATATTCCGTCATGATTCCCTTTTATTCCAGAAGTTGTGTCCATAAGGGGTTTAAAAATTGGTCACTTTGATTCGAGCAGTTTCAGTAGAGTAACGAGGGAATGTCAGACTAAACAAGGTAAAGCAATTGAATGTATACTATGTTTATCTATGTAGCTAACCAGGTATATACAAAACATTCAAGAAGTGTAGAGACAAAAGTTATTAAAAAGATTGAAGTTGAATTGGAAGATATGTTTCTCACAGAGAGAGACTGGAAATATATGTTAATAAATATGGAAGAGATTGAGCAAGGTGTGAAAGGATAGGAAACAGATAAAAAAAACAAGCTTTGAGTAGATGTTAACACGGAGTTTAAGGTAGACTCACTATAAAATATATATATACAGGGTTATTTTCTAAATTTTGAGCTGTAATAAATTGAAATCCAAGTGACCGAGTTTAGGCAAATATAGCTAATTTGGAGAAAATCAGTTGATCTGGAGAAATTCTCCAACTTGGATATAGTGATTATAGTCTAACTTTGGCCAGAAATTTTGTTATCTAGACTTCAATTTGCTTCAATTTGGATTTCAGTGAATAACATTTTCTGTTTTATATTTACCCCTAAAAACTGTGAAATATTACTTCTAAAACAAAACATATTTTATTATAAAACTGTTGCGTTAAAACAGTATTTCCTCCCTTTTATGGTATAGATGGATTAGATAGATAGACAGACAGACAGACAGAAAGACAGATAGATTAAATAGATAGGGAAAAAACTGTATTTCCCAAGATGTATGTTTTTCCAATTCTATTTTCTAAAGCTTATACGGATTGTTGTATTGTTATTACATTGTTGCTAGATAGACCTCAAGATAGCGGAAAATATTGCTGTCAGACTTGGCCAATAACATTGAATATGTGTGAGAGCATACATTAGGTTTTTACAAGATCATAATACAGATAATTTAGGATAATGGACTACAGGTGTGAACCTTTACAGGGAATATGATGAAAACCTAATGTTGCCAACTTATAACATTATATATTATGCAATGCTGAGAATTTACAATGTGATATGTCATTATTTATTAATAGCAACATCATCTCTGTGCTTTTGTCCCCCAGGCATTCTATGTTTCGTTCTGCTGTTAGGAGGTTTCCAACAATCTACTTTAGTCCTGTAAGTTACATAGTATAAAGGATAATTCATTAGATGTCACCAACATTGTACCGGATTTAATAAGAAAATACTCCTTCAATATCATAGTAGGTTTTTGTTTTCCCGGGGGGGAATGGGAGGGGGGAGAGAGACTGGTCAGACTGATGGGGAGATGAGAGAGCACACGCAAAGCAGGATATTGCTTTGCTGCACAGGGATTTAGATAGGTTGGGGAACTGGGCACTAAAATGGCAGATTAAATTTAATGTAGATAAATGCAAAGTTATGAACTTCGGGGTCAAGAATGCACAAGCGATTTACACCCTAAATGGTAGTGAATTAGGGATAACCACACACGAGAAGGATTTGGGAATTGTTATAGACAACAAATTAGGCAGCAATATGCAATGTCAATCTGCAGTTACTAAGGCCAGTAAGGTTTTGTCATGTATAAATAGGGGCATAAATTCTCGGGATGAAAATAGAATTTTGCCTCTTTATAAATCGCTGGTAAGGCCACACCTTGAATATGCTGTGCAATTTTGGGCACCTGTTCTAAAAAAGGATATCATGGCACTAGAAAAAGTGCAGAGATGAGCTACAAAATTGATAAAAGGAATGGAGCATTTTAAGAAGAAAGGTTAAAAAATTTAAATCTCTTTAGTTTGGAAAAACGGGGCCAGTACAAACCATTATCTGGAAATCTATTCATAAACAGGGCTATACATAGGACAAAGTCACACATTTAGGCTGGAAGAAAGGAGAAAGAAAAGGTTTTTTTACAGTAAGAGCAATAAGGATATGGAATTCTCTGCCTGAAGAGGTGGTTTTGTCAGAGTCCTTACAGATGTTTAAACTAAAATTGGATAAATACTTACAAAACATAACATACAGGGATATCATTTCTAATTAGTGGGGTAATAGCTGCTTGATTCAAGGAGATTTGGGGTCAAGAATGAGTTTTTTCCTAGTTTGTTGCAAAATTGGAAGCGCTTCAGACTGGTTCTTTTGGATCAGCAGCAAAAACAAATGTGAGGAAGGCTGAACTTGATGGACACATGTCTCTTTTTAGCTATGTGACTATGTAACTATGTAACAAATGTAACACATAATGAAAGTTTTCCTCTCCTTGTCATTGCATTACATGAAGTCCTTTTTTAATGTCCACATGTTTCCTGTTTGTGTGTGTGTACGTATAAATTCTAGACTTTAGGCCCTCCATTTTTACTTCAATGCTCAATTTGGTCTTCCACGCCAAATGAGTTTGACACCCCTGTTCTATGTGTTGTTGCCGTTTATTAATATCCTTTAGAAAAGTTTTGAATAATGCATTGAAATAGTGGATTGTTTTTCCTTGCACAGTTCAGATTACTCCCTCTGGAAACGACAGCATCGTAACCATGGTTCCTTTTCCATTGTCTGCTCTTTGCATACTCCTAGTATCTGTAGACCGATTCTTACACTCAGTTTGGTAACAATGAAATGCAATATATAGGACGTATCTCCTAACACACTCATTTTTTGCTACTGCTATCAAAAGTAAAAAATGAACTATACAGAGATAGAGTTTTCAAAAACCAAATATTAGCCTTGTTACATCACGTTTCCTTAAATTAAACGTTAATTAAAATAAAATAAAGAAAAGCGAAACAACCAAACATATTAAAGAATTCAGTAAATCAAAGGACGATAAGATGTTATTTTTTTGTTTGTTTGGTTTGTGGATGACATGACCACATTCTTTGCAACTGAACTAATAGTCGTCTTAATGATTGTTGTTTGACTATTGTTAATACAATGAATACCAATTAATTAAAAGTGCTATGTGCTTTCTTTCATCATCCATTAGGACAATTTAATCATTTATATCTACTATTGTTTTCCCTTAAGTATGCTTCTGGCCATGGTGCACGGAGCAAGGGACACATGAGTGGTCGGATCTCCCCTAGATAATCATATGGAGGGAATTCAGACAGATCATCTGATTACTAACCGATTTGCACACACAAAAACACACACTGGGCCAGGAACTTAAATGTGGAGAGCGGTTCCTGCCAGACCCCAGGTAAGGAGTCAAACCATTCTAAAACGGTTTGACTTCTTACAATGGGGAGAGTGGTGGGAGGATAACACCGGGGCACTCATGGCACCATAACCACTATAGTGATATAGTTTTTGTGTTTGGAGAGTTACTTTAACAAAGATCAGAGACTGCGGCCTTACTACCACATTACCCAAGGTCCCCCATCCAATGCCTAGTAGATAAAACCAGTTTACAGTTCGTATGAAGGATGAGTGTAGTTATAGCACAAAACATACAAGTAAAATAGATTACTTCACAGATACATGGAATAAATGTTACCAGATGCTTGCTGTCAGCTGAGGAGCATATCTGTAAACAAAGATTCAAATGCTTGGGTGTTGGATTTGGTTAGTAATATATATATTTTTTTTCTCTAACACTGTTTGTGTTATGCATTGATATACTCCATTGTATAATTTGAACAAAATATTGTTATAATCAAACAGCCAACCACCAGTGTCTGTACACATTCATTGTATACAGGGTCGGCCACAGGGGTGTGCGAGGATTCATTATTTTTCACCCGGGACTATAAAAGTAAAGAGCAAGACAGTGGCGGCGGGGCTTACTGAGTGGCAAGGGCGGGGCTAAAATGGCAGCGGGGACAGAGCTTAAAGCTCCCAGAAGACCCTGGTAACTGCTGCACAAGAAGGGGGAAGCAGGAAGGAGTCCCTGATTCCCCAACAACAAGGCTACAGTAGCTGCACTACCTCCACTCCTCACTTCCAGACATAATGGAAAGAGGTAATTGTGTGTGTGACTGTACTCTATGTGTGTGCGTGTGTGTGTGTGTGACTGTAAATGTGTCTTACTGTCTGCCTGTGTGTGTGACTGTAACTGTGTGTGTGACTGTCTGCCCATTTGTGACTTTCTGCCTGTGTGTGTGTGTGTGTGTGCATGACTGTATGCCTGTGTGTGACTATCTGCATATGTCTGTGTGTGACTGTAACTGTGTCTGAATGACTGCCTGTGTGTGTGACTGTAAATGTGTGTGACTGTCTGCCTGTGTGTGTGACTGTAATGATCTTACTGCCTCCGTGTGTGACTGCCTGCTTGTGTGTGTGACTGTAACTGTGTGTATGACTGCAACTGTGTGTGACTGTCTGCCTATAACTTAGTGTGTGGGCCTGTCTGCCTTTGCCTGTGTGTGTAAGTGCCTGCCTGTAACTGAGTGTGTGTGTGACTTCTTGTAACTGTATGTGTGACTTTCTGCTTGTAACTGTGTGTATCTGTGTGACTTTCTGCCTGTAACTGAGCATGTTTTACTGTCTGCCTGTAAGTGTGTGTGTGTGTGTGTGTGTGACTGTCTGCCTGTAACTGTGTGTCACAGTATTGTGTTACATACTTAGGCTGCTCGTCTGTAATGCAGGGGAGGCAGTCTGGCACCTCTGGCCTGCACTTCTCTGCTGGATGCAGACCATAAGTAGCTGTCTTCCGAGCTCTGGCCAATCAGAGCATAGCTGTGAATTACCAGAGAAAAGCTCAGGCACTGTAAATGCCTGAGCTAAATTACTTGTAGTCTGCACCTGGTGATTCCCAGCACACTGGAACACCAGAGATCTTCATTCCCCCCTCACTGCAAGTTAATAACAGGGAAGGGGAAATGAATATTTGTTTTTAAATTATTATTAATGTAATAAATCCCCTATATACAAACACTACACCCCTAGGCACACACACACGGATGAAGTTTTGTGACCAGGGAGGATGGGGGGGTGGTGGGGGTGCTGTGAAGATTTCCCGCTCAGGGCGCCTAATGGCCTAAGGCTAGCCGTGTTTGGATATTTATACATTTGTTAATTCTATTGAATGTATTCTTTCTCTTGGAGTGCATTGTGCATAAACTATTTCACAGAACAAAATAAATCAGTTTTTATGCTAAATCAGCCCGGTAAGGATGTGAGATATTCAGAAGAGTCAAGTTTAAACTAATTTTACTAATTTACTATTATTTTTGCACTTGCTACTAATTCAGAGTAGTGCAAAGTATTTATATTTTGTATATTTTGCTCTAAATGTTTTGTAGTTAATAATCCCCGAATATCACACTCTAAAGAGGTAAATGCTCCCTTAAAGATGTTTTAAATGTGCACTTTTGTAATATGAGCTATTTCAGCTAAATTAGCACTAGCTAGCAATGTAATCTCCTGGGCATACACAGAGCTACCTCCAGCTTTGATCAAACTAGCAAGCTAGAAAAATAATATTAATATTTATACATTGCCTAATGTATGTGTTTTTAAACAAAAAAAGGGAAACCCAAAAAACCTAAACAAAACAAAACAATGTTGCACATGTATGTGATGGTTGTCAATTCTTCATTCCCAGTATTTTTCCATCCCGGGTATTTTAACCTTAAATTCCCTTGGCAACCCTTGCTGAGTGAATAACAATAACCACAGCTAATTTTTTTTACATTAAATGATTAAACAAACATTTTGAACCCAGGTGCTAAACGCTCAGAAAGATGCTGATTTTATATTTGCATATACAGTCACTTACCTCCATAATGCTTGTAGCATGCAATATGAGATGCTGTGTACATCATTTGAAAACAGGCAGGTAGAGGAACTGCATTTGCACTCATCTGGAAGGGTAGGAGAGATTTTTATAGTACTATATATTTTATTATATACATTTGTAACGTGCAAATTTAAAGGAACACAATAGAGTCAGGAACAGAAAAATGTATTCATGTCCCGATAGTGTTAAAAAACACCATTTAGCCCCCACTTGCACCCTTAAATATAGTAAAATCTTATTTTTATTCCAGTCTGCTGCTGCTGGCTCTGTCCCTAATCTGCTTGCTTGGCTGACATGCTCATAAGTGGTGTTCAGAGCCAATCTAGGAAAGCATTGGATTGGCTGAGACTGTCAAGGAGGCAGATCAGGGACAGAGCCAGCACAAGCCAAACATTGCCCTGGCCAATCAGCATCTCCTCATAGAGTAAAGGTGAAGTGCTGAATATTAATAACCCGGAACAAACATGCTATAGTGCAGACACATGAGTAACTATACCTTAAAGGACCACTATAGTGCCAGGAAAACATACTCGTTTTCCTGGCACTATAGTGCCCTGAGGGTGCCCCCACCCTCAGGGTCCCCCTCCTGCCAGGCTCTGGAAAGGGGAAAGGGGTTAAAACTTACCTTTTTCCAGCGCTGGGCGGAGAGCTCTCCTCCTCCGATCCTCCTCTTCTCCTCCCATGCGGCTGTATGCGCACGCGCGGCAAGAGCTGCGCGCGCATTCAGCCGGTCACATAGGAAAGCATTCATAATGCTTTCCTATGGACGCTGGTGTGCTCTCACTGTGAAAATCACACTGAGAAGCACGCAAGCGCCTCTAGTGGCTGTCAATGAGACAGCCACTAGAGGAAATAGGGGAAGGCTTAACCCATTCATAAACATAGCAGTTTCTTTAAACTGCTATGTTTATGAAAAAATGGGTTAACCCTAGCTGGACCTGACACCCAGACCACTTCATTAAGCTGAAGTGGTCTGGGTGCCTAGAGTGGTCCTTTAATAGATATATAAAATTACAATTGTGGTATGCAGTACCTTAAAAATATAAACAAGAAAACCAAACATAGTGTTTACTGTGGTACAAAGTAAATATAATTTTAAAAAGAGGGAAATATGCCCACTCACACTTTTAGGAGCTAAGTATGTATAGCTCACTAGAATCACTTGAGGGGTCCGTAAAGGCGACCCTATCCCTTCTTTGATGTGTGTTCTTTGCTTTCTTGATTTCTAAAGCAAGGAAAAACGCATATGGTGCAATATCGTAAATCTTAAATGGTGATGGAAAAAGTCAAATTTGTACTTACAAGCCCAGAGCCATCCACATCGGCTCTGATCAAAGAGTGTATGTGGTTAAGGACCACAATCCTTCTTTAAAGAATAGAAGGAACAATTCCAGTAGTGATATAAAGGTATACATAAATTTATTTAAACATTAAAATATTTATAAAAAATATAAAATAAAATACCACTATTTAGGCATTAAAAGTCCAATACATCAAAGGCTGTTCCTCACAAGATTCCCAGGACGCATTTCGCCGTGAAGGCTTCTTCAACTGGATGTGGGAAAAAAGTCTTTGTATGTTCTTTGGGACAGGTTCCTGCTATATGTACCCATCCAAGGGTACAGTAATTGATTTCCAGCTTGTAAAATCGCGGGCGTTCACCATGGAAACGGTGACGCCCAGCGTTTCAAGCCTCTCTTTCAGTTGGTTTCCGGGTACGTTCGTCACTTCCGGTCACGTGTTTGTATGCCGATACGTCATAAATTATGCGTTCCAGCTAGCGTTTCATTCCCCAAACAGTATATCCGGTTTACATAGTAACAAAAAATAATAAAGAATCAAAAACATATTCTTTCTGTATTTTAACCAAATAAATTATGTACATAATAAAAATTATTCTGTGTGTAATTGTTTCAATAAAAAGAGTAAATAGATGGACATAACTATAGTATATAGATACTTGTATTTTAGATGATATCATGTCCATTCCTATGAAACTGTGGAATCAGTTAATGTACATAGCATTAGGTTAATATCCAAAGATATATAAAAGAGTATATACAATAATATAACCGAAATGCACATCTATAAAAAGCATATTTTATTAATAGAGGATTTCAAAAGTAGACGATTTTAAAAAGAGAGAGTCTTTAATACCCATATCTAATCTATATAAAATTTAATTAAAAAGTAATAAAATAAATATGGGATAAAAAAATATAATAACCAGAGATTTTATTTTAAAAAATGACACATCTCAAAATCTGCATTGAGACCATAAGGAATTAAAGTATTTAGTTTGAAAATCCATTCCATTTCATTATTACTCATTTTTACATCAAAATTTCCTCCTCTCCAATCTCTTTCTAATTTTTTTATACCTAAAAACCTGGTATCTTTCGTTTCGCAATTATGGTGGGTCTTATAATGTGCAGAGACACTATGATTTTCAAAGCCCTTAGTTATATTTCGGCCATGTTCTTCTATTCGAATATGTAATGCCCTTGTGGTTTTACCGATGTATTGTAAACCACAAGGGCATATAATCAGATAAATCAGATTCTTTGAATGGCATGTCAAGAGGTCTTTAGTTTAATGTTCTAGTCCATCTTTGCTTAAAAAGGTGCTTATATGTCTTTTTTTATTTGAAGTCCTCTTGCATGCCAAGCAAAACCCACATCCAAAAAAACTATCTGTATTTAAAAACGTATTGGTTATTTTCTTTTCTTTTATAAAACTTGATCAAAGGGAAGTAGGGAGATTATTAACTCCTCTATGTACAAAGTGAGGTTTTTCTGGAAGAAATGTCTTAGCTACATGATCTTGTAAATGAATAGGCCAGAACTTAGAAACTATTTTTCTGACTTTATAATTATCCGTACTGAAATTGCATCTTAATGGGATTTTGTTAAACTCATTCTCTTTCTTCTTTTTGTATTTTAAAAGACTCTCTCTTTCCATTTCTTTCACTTCTTTTTTAGCACTTTCCAATTTATATTCCTCATATCCCTTGTCTAAAAAATTCTGTTTGATTTTGTCCGATTGAGCTTTCAAGGTCATAAGGTCAGTACAATTTCGACGAATACGTAAAAATTGGCCTCTAGGAGCATTTTCGAGGTGAAAAGTGACAACTTTCTCTACCTATATAATTATTTGCTTCCACTGTCTTAAAATATTTTTTGGTTTTTATCATGTTCTCTTCTATATATATTTTTAAGTCCAAAAATATAATTTCCGACTTACTCCAATTATTCGTTAACTTTATCCCCCATGTATTAGTATGGAGATATTCTAAGAATTTAATGAGATCGCTCTCTTCTCCCTCCCAGATGAAGAAAATGTCATCAATGTATCGGCCATAGGTGACCAAGTTCCGCCTCCAGCTATGTGGGCCATATATACACAATACATCGGTAAAACCACAAGGGCATTACATATTCGAATAGAAGAACATGGCTGAAATATAACTAAGGGCTTTGAAAATCATAGTGTCTCTGCACATTATAAGACCCACCATAATTGCAAAACGAAAGATACCAGGTTTCTAGGTATAAAAAAATTAGAAAGAGATTGGAGAGGAGGAAATTTTGATGTAAAAATGAGTAAAAATGTAATGGAATGGATTTTCAAACTAAATACTTTAATTCCTTATGGTCTCAATGCAGATTTTGAGATGTGTCATTTTTTTAAATAAAATCTCTGGTTATTATATTTTTTTATCCCATATTTATTTTATTATTTTTATTAAATTTTATATAGATTAGATATGGGTATTAAAGTCTCTCTCTTTTTAAAATCCTCTACTTTTGAAATCCTCTATTATTAAAATATACTTTTTATAGATGTGCATTTCGGTTATATTATTGTATATACTCTTTTATATATCTTTGGATATTAACCTAATGCTATGTACATTAACTGATTCCACAGTTTCATAGGAACGGACTTGATATCATCTAAAATACAAGTATCTATATACTATACTTATGTCCATCTAATTACTCTTTTTATTGAAACAATTACACACAGAATCTTTTTTATTATGTACATAATTTATTTGGTTAAAATACAGAAAGAATATGTTTTTGATTCTTTGTTATTATTTTTTGTTACTATGTAAACCGGATATACTGTTTGGGGAATGAACCGCTAGCTGTAACGCATAATTTATGACGTATCGGCATACAAACTCGTGACCGGAAGTGACAAACGTACTCGGAAACCAACTGAAAGAGAGGCTTGAAACGCTGGGCGTCACCGATTCCATGGTGAACGCCCGTGATTTTACAAGCCGGAAATCAATTACTGTATCCTTGAATGGGTACATATAGCAGGAACCTGTCCCAAAGAACATACAAAGACTTTTTTCCCACATCCAGTTGAAGAAGCCTTCACGGCGAAATGCGTCCTGGGAATCTTGTGAGGAACAGCCTTTGATGTATTGGACTTTTAATGCCTAAATAGTGGTATTTTATTTTATATTTTTTATAAATATTTTAATGTTTAAATAAATTTATGTATACCTTTATATCACTACTGGCATTGTTCCTGCTATTCTTTAAAGAAGGATTGTGGTCCTTAACCACATACACTCTTTGATCAGAGCCGATGTGGATGGCTCTGGGCTTGTAAGTACAAATTTGACTTTTTCCATCACCATTTAAGATTTACGATATTGCACCATATGCGTTTTTTCTTGCTTCAGAAATCAAGAAAGCAAAGAACACACCTCAAAGAAGGGATAGGGTCGCCTTTACGGACCCCTCAAGTGATTCTAGTGAGCTATACATACTTAGCTCCTAAAAGTGTGAGTGGGCATATTTCCCTCTTTTTAAAATTATATTTACTTTGTACCACAGTAAACACTGTGTTTGGTTTTGTTGTTTATATTTTTAAAGGTACTGCATACCACAATTGGAATTTTATATATCTATTAAGGTATAGTTACTCATGTGTCTGCACTATAGCACGTTTGTTACGGGTTATTAATATTCAGCGCTTCACCTTCACTTCACAATTCTAGCATTCAAAGATAAGAATTCGGTGAAATAGCAGCTGTAATTTTTGTGTTATTTAACAGTTTCTTTTCATCATTTATTAGCGCTAGTACCTTTTTCTGTTTTATACCTCCTCATAGAGATTCATTGAATCGATGCATCTCTATGAGGAAAGTTCAGGGTCTCCATGCAAAGGGTGGATACACTGAATGTCAGTGCTGCACACTGTGCAGAACTACCCCAGGAAGCACCTCTAGCAGCCATGTGAGGAATGACCAGAGGAGGTATCCCTAGGCTGTAATGTAAAAACTGCCTTTTCTCTGAAAAGACAGTGTTTACTGCAAAAAGCCTGAAAGGACTGACTATACTAGAATAAATACAATAAGCTGTAGTTTGTTCTGGTGACTATAGTGTCCCTTTAATGTAAACCGACCTTTAATCTACATATTTTGTTACAGAAGGGGTTCCTTTTTGGTTTAGTAAATCAAACTGCTCAACTGAGACGGGGGTGCAAGGGAGGGATGGGGGAAGAAACAACAGCAAAGCCATAGCTTTGTATCAGTCAATAAATCATTAACAAAATGTAAATGTTATGTCAACATTTTTTTGTTTTTATCTGTGGCCAGAATTTAAGTATTTACATTAATACGTTAACCTTCCTGCTTTGAAAATGCTTTGCACTGGTAGGATTTAAGGATTTCCTGGTCCTGTCATCAAGTTTGTAAATGTTACAGAGATTTTAAAACACAGAATCTTTGCAATCAAACCGTAAAACACAGTGCGTGCCAAGGAATATTATCACCTTATCACAAAGTGAATTGTAAAGGTGTTACTAAAATGTTAAAAACTACAGAACTATTTAAACATTTTTACGTAATTAACCTGATAGACCTGTCTTAAGCGCATACTTAAGTGAAGGTCCATATAATGATATTTAGGTTGTTGCGTACCCTTTCCTGGGTGTGTTTTCTAAGTGATAGCGTGATAAGTGACCTGTCAAGAAAGTATTTTTGGGTTTATTTGCTAAAGTGTGACTCATACGCGTGACAAGATATACCTTCCAGTAACACTAAACAGAGTATATTTTATACCAGTGAAATCAGTAAATACACTGACTTTCTTCTGCTTCTTTAAATTTTAAACGTTGCTCCAGAGGTGACATGGGGGATCGTTATATTACCAGGAGTTATTCACGAAAGTGAGAATTACCGGGGTTTCCAAGTGAATTTTATTTTTAAGGCCAAAATAGTTGAACTGTAGACAGAACTGATTTGGAGGATTTTTCTAATTTCTAAATTCACTAAGAATTCAGTTTTCGATGGCCATCAATTCTCACTTCAGTAAACAACCCTGTTAAAGTGTATTACCAGGATAAATGCATGTCTCTCATGTTTAGGTATGTTCTGGGAATATATATTATTATTATCCAACTCAATGGTACTTACATTATTGATCACAATAGGATGAAAGTCTTGGCTGAGAAGGGCACTTAAACCTTTTTAAACATTACACCTGGACTCAGCATCTGTGTGTATAACATCTAGTAATATTCTACTAAATATTGTCATACTGACAAAATGATGTGACTGGAATAAACCATCTCCGACAATGCAGCAAAAAGAGATTATTTATGTTCTAAATTGAAAATGATCTACCAATAAGGCCTTATTTGTAAAGAATTTAAACACTCGCACACACACTGTGCCGAATTAATTAGTTAATTAATTAATTACGCAGAGCTCATAATTAACACTCTAATCTCCTTTAAATAATTGAGAAAAATTTAAATATTTATCTTTTATTGCTGATGGAATTGAGCCAAAATATTCACATATAAGGACAAAATATGCATTCAGAATCCTTAAAGTTACAACTACATTAAAAAATATCCTACTCTTAAATGAAATATCACGAAGAGAATACATTAACACATAGAGACTCTGCCTCCTCATTGCTGCTACCTTGTTACTAGGACATTAGGGTTTAAATGGCTTAATCCTGGCAGAGATCTGGCCTGCTTGGTGGTAAATCAATTACTATTCTTAGTGAAATTGTTTTCAGTACATATTAAAATGCATTCAAACATCTGTTGCTTCCTGGCTTAATTCTCAATCAACAAACATGTTCTTTCCTGTCCGTCACATGCCAAAAAATCATTAAACATTTTTATTATAAATAATATGTTTTATTAAATTTTCAATACTATTCTATATGAACAAGATCTGCAGTACGTATTTATATAAAGCGTATGTTATGTACAAACAATAACAGTTACATACATTGAACTGTGCCATCTGTTTAATGATTTTCACTTTTATTTTAGACTATTTGAATGTCACAGAATTAAAGGGACACGCCAGACATCTAAATCACCCAAATGCTATATATGTGATGAGTGTGTCCTCTTTTTTTTTTTCTTCATTTTACAAAATGAGCGGTTTTCAACAGAAATTGGCACTTTTTTAAAATTTAACCTTGTTACACCCCCTTGGTTACCAATAAGGCAAGCGTTCCTGTTACGTCTGGTTTGTTTAGCTCAGTGGAGTTAAACTTAAGAGGCAGTAATTGCTCAGAGAACCTGCCTTGCAAAGACTTCTCATTGAGCTGCATTGCGAAGTCTGTGATTGGACAGCCACGGAAAGTATGGGCGGGGTTAGAAAGGGAGGGCTTGCAAAGGCTTTATACAAGTTAGTTACTTTCAAACCTAAATAGCATGAAATGTCAATGGTACAACAGCATGGAATAAAAAAACCAAATCATGCAAAATGCAAGTTACGTGTTTTTTGCAATCAGTTCTGAATAAGGCTGTTTAAGAGCAAACAAATTAGTAGAAAGCACTTACTGTAATGAAAGGGCTAATCGTTCATTATAATAGGCAGAACCAAACGTTTGAAATAATGTAACAATTTAGCTAAACTCATTTCACTTTAGTAAGCTTGTCCCTTTTAAGAGAGTCCCCCATAGCTCGAACCCAGGGGTGGCTCTGATCACAAGGTTTGATTTGGTAAACCAGACTAAACAGGATGAAATTGTAACTGAACGGCTTTAGGTGAATTTCTGATTCAGTGTTCTCCTGAATGTTGCTCAGCAACAAAATAGAGCTAATGTTGTGACTAGCACAGTGTATATCAAGCTGGTGCTACTATCATTCTTGACATTGGGTGGATGGAAAATTTATCTTGAGAAGAATGAGTACTGATTGTGTAAACAGCACAAGTACTAAAAGTAGTTTTTTTAACACTATAATGATTTCACCAACAGAAGGGAAGTGATGCCAGGCTGGATTTCTAAATATAAACCCACAGACTTCAGTGGAGAAATTGTTCTTTAATTTAAAAAAAACAACAACAAAAAAAACTTATGTCCTAGCACCCGTTCAGCATTTAGGGATTCCCCAAATATATTCCATTTTCATATTGGAAACTACCTATTCTAATAGCGCTCAGAGACTGCCGCCATGTGCGGTGGGCACAACACTGTTGTAGGTGAAGTGGGTGAAAGACTCCTGCTTGTTGCAGAGGGTTTAAGCTGACTGTCTGGTGCGATGGGTGAGACACTGCTGCCTGGTGCGGAGAGTGAAAGAGCCTTGCTTGTTGCAGAGGGTTTAAGCTGACTGTCTGGTGCGATGGGTGAGACACTGCTGCCTGGTGCGGAGAGTGAAAGAGCCTTGCTTGTTGCAGAGGGTTTAAGCTGACTGTCTGGTGCGATGGGTGAGACACTGCTGCCTGGTGCGGAGAGTGAAAGAGCCTTGCTTGTTGCAGAGGGTTTAAGCTGACTGTCTGGTGCGATGGGTGAGACACTGCTGCCTGGTGTGGAGATTGAAAGAGCCTTGCTTGTTGCAGAGGGTTTAAGCTGAGTGTCTGGTGCGATGGGTGAGACACTGCTGCCTGGTGCGGAGAGTGAAAGAGCCTTGCTTGTTGCAGAGGGTTTAAGCTGACTGTCTGATGCGATGCGTGAGACACTGCTGCCTGGTGTGGAGAGTGAAAGAGCCTTGCTTGTTGCAGAGGGTTTAAGCTGACTGTCTGGTGCGATGGGTGAGACACTGCTGCCTGGTGCGGAGAGTGAAAGAGCCCTGCTTGTTGCAGAGGGTTTAAGCTGACTGTCTGATGCGATGGGTGAGACACTGCTGCCTGGTGCGGAGAGTTAAAGAGCCTTGCTTGTTGCAGAGGGTTTAAGCTGACTGTCTGGTGCGATGGGTGAGACACTGCTGCCTGGTGCGGAAAGTGGAAGAGTCTTGCTTGTTGTGAAGGGCTAGATTCAGATACCTAGTCCAGTTGGTGGAAGACTGGTGTGGGGACAACGCTTTAATTTTAGGGATGTGAGTGGGGGTGTGGCCAGGGGCGGAATGTTCTGAGAAATTTTAGATAGTTTACTAATAACACTTTATAGAACTAAAATGTATCTTATTTATATAGACTGAATTTTAAACACATTTATTGTAGTTTAAAGACATATTACTGGGGGTAATATTACTGTGGAGCTCTGTTATACAGTCAGACAAACCAACAGTATTGGACTCCTAGAAAATAGAGTCATTAGGATAGAAAAGAGTGACAAAGGAATTTGGGAGGTATGCAGAGGTTAGAGTAAGTTTCTGTTGCAGTGGGTGAATGGCTGCATTGCAGGAATGTGTAATTAGTTAGAGAGATTAGACTGAATTATGTAAGTGTGACAGTAAGAAATACTGTATTGTTTTAATCAGTGGCAAATCACCTTGGTAGCCTGCACCAACGCCTGAGGGTGAATGAGATTATCCTGGAATGTAATCTCACTGTGTGCATTGAGCCACATATGCTATATGTATACTGCATTTTCTTCCTGGTGTTCCTGTTCAGATGGTATAACCAATTAAAAGGAAACTATAGTGTTAGGAATACAAAGTATAGTGCCCCCTTCCCTGTGCACCCTCTCCCCATGGGGCTGAAAGGTTAAAAACCCTTTTGTCACTTACTTGATACCAGCACCAATGTCAGCTTCAACCTCCGCTCCTCTTCCCACAACATCAGCCGAGGGGGTGAGGGGGGGGGACCTAATGCGCATGTACGGTGAGTGCTGAGAATACTTTAGGACTTCCCCATAGGAAAGCATTGATTCCGTGCTTTCCTTTGGGGTTTTAATCCTCCTTATGTGAGGATGTCCAACGCCATTTAGTGGACCAAAAGTCCGCTAAGGACCCTGTAGCACCACTAAAGGTGGAGTTAACACTGCAAGGTAATTATTGCAGTTTATCAATAACTGCAATAATTATAATTAGAGGGTTAAGGGACCTGGGATACTACGCTCAGACCACTTCAATGAGGTGAAGTGGTCTGGGTGCCTATAGTGTCCCTTTAATTTTCAGGTCTATTAGAATTCCCTTATCTTCCACGTCACTTATGCCAGACTGAATTCCAATGGTCCAAACGTACTGTATGGAGTTATTAGTGATGCATATAATGCAGTAGTCTCCTTCTTGGCTCCAAACAAGAGGGCTGGCCTTTATGGTACACAAAATAAACAGATCTCATTGTGGATGTTTCTACCCACAGGGAGCACATCATATGTAGAAATGTTGCAGATAAATGCTGCTGGAGTCAGGTGTGCCATCATTATACTGTGTATCCCTTTGACCTACACAGTATGAAGGAGCATTGACAGATATCTGTCTATGCCACCATTGGCAACTATAGTGTGTTTTGAATATCATGGTCACTGTCTCATATCATCCTGATCACAATGGTCACTGTCAAACAGCTCCAGGGATGTGGGTCTGGCAATTGGTCAGACTCAGATACCACAGTCCACCAGGAAATATCCCAATTGGCCAGTTCCTGCCTGGAGAGCACTGAGAGCAGAGGCCACCATTCCATGCACAAACCCACACAGTAATGGGTCAGCAAAGGCACTGGTCAGTCTCACTATTCTAAAACTGGGCAGACAAACATCCAACACATCATTCACTCTTTTAATTTAATTATTTTTTCACAATTTACCGAAGAATTGTTTGAGGCTACAACTCACAACCCCCATGCCAGTGATCCATTGCCCCGTGGCCAGCTCTCCCATGGTTACAAACACAAGATACATTTACTAAACCATTAATGGGACACTCCACTGCCCAAATACAAAAAGCTGGTGCTCTGGGCAATTGTCTGCTTTTTGAGTTTATCTCCAAGGACCTCAACAAACCAGGAAGTAACGGGACCTGATGTATGCCAAAAAGCCAAAGGGTGTAACAAGGCTCATTTATAAAAGTGTCAATTTCTTGTGAAATCAAAACTTTTTGCAAAATGATAAAATGAGGACACACAACACATAAAGCAAGTTAAAGTGCTTTAGGGGTCTGGATTGTCCTTTTAAATGTCAGCCTTACTGAATGATATAAATGACTATTCTGATGAAATATACAAATCGCATCGTCACAACAAGATTGAGGAGTACAATCAGGAAATTACATTTATCAGAAATAAATATCCATAATTCTCTGAATGCTAAATAAATGGATAATTTCATATGTTTATTCATATCTAGACCTCTGGCCTCATAATATTTAGTTATATATCCAGAACAATCTACTGACTTGTCTAAAGGTTCTTTTAGTAGTTTGACTTTCTTAGGGCTTGTATTGAAAAATTGCCCATGTAAAAATTAAGTGATGAGTTAATTAATTCTATATATATATGTAAATAATGTATTTTAGAAAGAAGGTCCAGGACCTGGTGAATATCACATGAAGACGCAGTCTGCTCACGGCATTTCATCGTGTTTTAAATCTAACGTACCCAGATTGCAGTTATCCAGCTCGGTAAGTCCTGGAAGCAATATGTTACTGTGCTTTATTCAGCTTTAATTAAAATGGCAAAAAAACAAAACAAAACAATTATAATATGAATCAATATTCAAGGCAATGCAGGAGAGTTCTAAATTGGTGCTTACTTTACACAGTTAGAGAAGAACCATCACATGGCAATGGTTCAATAGACAAGGGTGACGGAGATGCTCATAAAATAAACGGAGCTGGGCACAACATAAAGATATCTATACAATACAGAGATAACCATACCACAAACAGAGCTGAGAAGTTATACACAGAGTTGGGCACAATACAGAGACACCTATGCAATACACAGAGCTGGGCACAATACAAAGACACCTATACAATACACAGAGCTGGGCACAATACAGAGACACCTATATAATACACAGAGCTGGGCACAATACAGAGACACCTATATAATACACAGAGCTGGGCACAATACAAAGACACCTATACAATACACAGAGCTGGACACAATACAAAGACACCTATACAATACATATAGCTGGGCATAATACAAAGACACCTATACAATACACATAGCTGGGCATAATACAAAGAAACCTATACAATACACAGAGCTTGGTATACTTCAGAGATACCAATACAGCTGGTAGAGCTGAGTAAAATACAGTGAAATAACAATCAGGAGATACTCATTGTTATCAAGCATCTAGATACTTGTAGACTCCAACCATGTCAACTATTCCTTACTTACTATTAGCTCCCAGCACACAGTGTGCACGTGGTTAAAGCATCAAGATACTGATACCCTCCAAATATGTCAGATACTCCTGACTCACTATTAGCTCTCAGCACAGAGTGTACACAGGGTTAAAGCAGCAGGGCACTGATTCCTTATTACCTTTGTAGCTGGCAATATAATTAATCTGCATTAATATGGAGTCAAGAAATAACTGACATGGTTAATAGAAGCAACAATTACTACAGATTAAAACAGATTGGAATCATAGTCCTCAGAGTCACAGCCCCAGTCCTGCAGTTTGAACTTGTCAACTAGCCACAGCATGACTGTCTCAGGTCTCAACTGTAGAGTGATTGAGCTCTTTAAAGAAGATGGTGGATAGGTACAGTATGGGTTTATATAACTATTAGTGATGGGCAGCATAGTGCTATGTGTCAGAAATTGCCCTCTGCCCTTGTCACCCCCGGGGTTTCCTGGATTTATATGTATTAAATATATATTTTAGTAAATGTCATTGCCTAATCAACCCTCAGGCAGTCACTGGGGAAATTGGGAGAGAGAAAAAGATAATATTACACACTTACATCAGGCAAGGGCCAGGAGCTGTGCTTTCCCTGTGCTACTTTCAAGATGGATTCTAACTTCTCTTTCCTGTGGGTACTGTAACCACACCCTCTGGTGCTATCAGTCAATCATGGTCCCTGAATAGAGAGGCCAATAGTAGTCCTTTATTCATAGGCAGCTGACTCTGCTGCCCGAATGTCAACGCAATGGGAATTCCAGAAATTCCTTCTTAAAGGGACACTCCAGGCACTTCTGCCGATTGGAGTGGTCTGGGTGCCAACTCCCACTACCCTTAACCCTGCAACTGTAAATATTGCAGTTTTTATAAACTGCAATATTTACCTTGCAGGGTTAACTCCTCCTCTAGTGGCTGTCTTCTAGACAGCCACTAGAGGGCACTTCTGGGTTTATAGCACACATTTCGTGTACTATAGTGTCGCTGGACATCCTCACGCTATGTGAGGACCTCCAACGTCGCTGAAATCCCCATAGGAAAGCATTGAAAGCATTTTTGAATGCTTTCCTATGGGGAGGTCTAATGCGCGTGCACGGCATTGCCGCGCATACGCATTAGGTCTCCCCCCGCCGGTGGCCATGCATGTGCAATAGGTGTCCCCCGCCGTATCACGTCGGCGGGGGACACCTATCGCACATGCGCGGCCACCGGAGCGTGGGCGGACCCGGAACCAGCGCTAAGGGACATCGGCACTGGATACAGGTAAGTCACTGAAGGGGTTTTAACCCTTTCAGCAACTTGGGATGGGGGTGGGAGGGAGAGGAGACCTGCAGTGCCAGGAAAACGGTTTGTTTTCCTGGCACTGGAGAGTCCCTTTAAAGGACACTAGACATGTGTAAAACCTGCTCAAACAGGGCAAATTTCAAACCTGCCCAATATTTTGACATGCCTAGCTGCTCTCAAGTAAATTTCTCCAACCAGCTACCAATGAATTAGGAGAGGCCCTGCAGAAGTGAAACATATTACAGCCACTAATTTTCCCCATATTTTCTTGACTTACCACCCATCCCTCTAGAAAAAGAATATTAGTGCCCCTATGGATGAACCTCCACTGCTCATACAGACTAGTTACTAGTAAATATACAGACACTTATGCAATGCAAAACTCTTAATTTCCCATAATTCCCCATAATAATAAATATAAATTCTGGTGATACGATACTCAATGACGATTCAACAGTTTAGCTTTATCTTAAATATGTGTAAGCAATTTAATAATTTGCAGGTGGAATGCAATTGTCAGGTTATTGCATCCTTGTTAGTCAGTTCATTTCTTTTTTTTTATGAATAAGATTTTTATTAATCGTAAAATAAAGCATCATATGCAACATTCGTGGACATGCAGGTGTTTTTTTTTGGGGGGGGGGGTGGATTTGATTCCTGAATTGACATTCGCCGGAACCTAAACAACATCCAACCGAATGTCGGGTATCCTAAATTCTTTTCTATCCTCAGAAAAAATGATTCCGCAGAACCAAAATTTCTTGTTGTGCACGAGTCTAAATATCATTGCGGGGTTTGTGATATAGCAATATGAATAAAACAAATAATTTAGGGTGTTAATAGCAAGAAAATATATAAGTTGGTGTGTATGTGTCAGTTGTGCGTGTGTTGGATTTAAACCTATTTATGTTACTGTGAAATGATTACACTATGACTTAATGTACAATATCTGAAATGAATGGTGACACGATAAACGCGTCTTATGTAGACAAACTCAAGTCAATTATTATGTACAGTGGCTTTATACAAATCAATGTTTTACCATTCCGTAAATAATGTTAATGCTTCGCTACATGTGGTCAGGATTTCATGTTTTGTAGTAGATAGCAAAGCTGTTGTGAATACCAGAGTGTTTTATTCATTCAGTGTTTTTTGGTTGCTAAAGGAGCTTGAGTAAACAGGAGATATGTAATGGTATATAAACTACTTGCATACTTTGACTTAGAAGAAATGGTTTGCATTTAAGATGCTAAGCATTCACAGCACGTTTGGTTGCAGAATGGTTGTAGCAGACCCAAATCATGCTTCCTCTTTTATTAGTGATACAATAAATGCCACATTTTGGATTTTTGATTCCCAGGGACAGATAGAGCATAGTTCCTAACATTGAAAGTTATGAGATCAGGATAGAGGTGAAGGGGCCCGGCAAATGAAGGGACATGGTATTCTCCTGGTCAGGCCCCCAACACAGAAGGACATGCAGAGAGTGTTGTTGAATCTCTGCATGGTCCTAGTGGATGCCAGATAGTGCAAATGTGTCTAATGATTTACTCAGCGCTGTGCTGACTTGGGATAGCAATATGGTATCCCCAGATGTAGGACATCAGGGAACAAAACCGGAACAGAACCCTTGGTTGAAGTGGTTGAAGTGTTCAGAATGTAAGGCATCTGATATCAATAAATATTCATAAGAGAAAATGGTTCAAAGGCTCTTCTAAGGAATATTTTAAGCACAAAACATTTTGTTAATGACATTGTTTTGGTGTGCAGACCATACCCCTTCAGTCTGACTGCTCAATTCTATGTATTTTAGGAGTTAAAACACTTTGTTAATGCAGCTCAAGCCAAACCCAGCCTTGCCGCCTCCATGAAATAAAGGTTGATTTTTACAGCAAAGTGTATTTCTTTTAGAAGTTATTATCTCCTGTTCTGTTAATTGGACTTTAATCACAACCAGGATGCTGTTGCAGGGCCTAGTGGAGATTTAGCATAGCAGGAGATTGGAAATTGTAAACAAGCACACAGCTAAATCGCAGAAACTAAAACAAATCAGCTCTATTGAGGCTGAATAGCAACAAAGTGTTTATTATGGCAAAACAATTCCATTGAGGGGTTCTTAAAACCAAAGGTCACTTCTTCAGAGAGGAATTAATATCCAACAGGCTCTAGGAAGGTTGCCAGGTTTGGGACACCTACTCTTAGAATAGGGATGGTGATTGGGTCCTGGCATAGTCACGAAACCTGGGCCTCATTTATAATAAGGTGTCCTAGGTAGCCACCTAGGTGACCCGTGTAGTTTAGTTTACGAATGTCTTCAAAATTCCAAGTTGGTATTATTTTCCTCTAATACACAATTCAAGGTTATGACTCTTCTATATGAAGGGAAATACATTTTTAGATTGAGAATGAGGTTAGGATCTGGATTCCTTAAATCTTAGAGAAGGCTAGGACATAATTTCCCAATATGACTAAAATTGGTTGATTCAAATTCATACAACTTCTGCCGTCAATTCAGTCTCCCTCCCAATAATGATATGTTGGGGACAAAATCTGAGGAGAGAGAAAACCACTTTAGCTCACACTATGGCGGTGCAGTAACTGGATAACGATATGCTGGGAGAGGAACTGAAGAAGACTAAACCATTTTTGGCCAAACTATAGCTATCTAATAGCTTTTTGGGTATATAGACATAAGCACTGAGAAAAGCTTTCAAAAATCAAATGATACAGCAGTGCTGTCCATTTGGTGACCCTCAAGGTGCCATGAACTATAATGTTTAGCCATTCACGCTCTTGGCAAAGAATCATGGGAATCCACAATAAATGGAATACCTAAGGTTAGGCATCACTTTCCGACTTGCTGTAGTTGCAACATTACAGCGAAGATAATTAATGAAGTGCAAGAGTACAAAATGCATTAACGAAAGAATCACTGTTTTTATCCCAGGTAAATAATTTTTTTCTAGTAATGTCTAAAAATAAAAAGAAAGTCTCTACATCCATTAAACCACTATAGAACCAAACCGTGAGCCCCGTGGGACCATCAGAAAATCTTTGTGAGGGCATATAATTTATCTGGTTGTCTGGAGACACAGGAAATACATAATTTACAGCTGCTTTAATGGCTTATCACCAGATTACGTGGCAGGCGTTTTCAGCTGCCCTACAGTCTCCAGTTCCAGAAAATGCAGCTCAGCACAAAGGTCAATCCATGTAAACCAAAGCATTGAAATAATGTTGGCCGATCACCAAGTGTAAATTCACCCGTCTTTCATAGAATGTCGGAGGGACAATTACATAGCTGTTAAACAGCACTCATAGGAGTCACTTGCCAGTCGACTCCTTTTGTTTTACCTGATATTGTATTTTGTATTTTAATGGATTTTTCACTGTAGAACTATTTTACAAGAGCAGTGGGAGTTTATGAGAGTAGGAGCCAGATTTAGTGCTATTGATAGGGGGGAGAAATGCAACAAACTATTGTCAGCTGAGCAGTTCTACGCTACTTACTAAAACACACTGACTCTATATTAGTGTTTATAGTGTAGAAATGTCCCCTGTAAATTGATGGGAGGGGGGAGAGCGGAGGAAGGAAGGACGGAAGGAACACAAAGAAATGAAGGAAGGGAGGCAGAAAGAAAGGAAAGAAGGAAGGAAGGTGTAAGGAATCCTGTACTTACCTTGGCGGTCTGCCAATCAGCTCTTTCTTCGATTGGGCGGATCGCTTCCTCCAATCATCCTGCCCAATTTGGCAGTCTCCTGGACACTGGCTGCTGGGCGCACGCCCCTTTTTATGACACGGTGCACGTTCGCCGATGTCAGGTGAAGGGCAGTACTGAGGGTGGGATTCACAGGCGCTTCCTCACATTTTAGGGGAGTGACTACATCAATCACGCTTCCCAACATGCTGTGGTTCCTAGTTTACTAGTGTCCCAAGAGTGGGTTTCTTACTGGGTTTTTGCTATTTTGTTATTGCTTTTTCCTGACTACTCTTCTTTCTGGTTCCCTTGACTCGGCTCTAGTATTCGTTTTGGTTTTTCTCTGGTTCCCTTTGACTTAGGCCTGTTTTGACTATTCTATTCTTATTACTTTTTAGTCCGGCCATTCTAAGGACCGGTTTAGGTATTTATTTTACCTATAGGAGGATTATTATTGTGCGTGTTGGGATACCCATTCATGACAGAAGGCAGCAAAAAAGGAAGTATGGACATACAGAAGGGTGGTAGGTAGGGAGGGAGGAAGGATGGAAGGAAGAGAGGGAGGGTGGAAGGAAAGGAGGAAGGGTGGGAGGAACTGGAGGGAGGGAGAGAGGAAGGATGGAAAGAAAAAGAGAGAGGGAGGGAGGAAGGAAAGAAGTAATGGAGGGAGAGAGGATGAAAAGAAGAAAGGAAAGAAGGAAGGGAGTGATGGAGGAAGGAAGAATGGTAGAAAGGGAGTGTGAAAAAAATTGGCTTTTATTTGACATTTTCTTATTTGTTCGGTATTTTTCCTGTTTATTACATGTATATTGCATATATTGGTTCAGTAGTTTGAAACTACCGAACACCGACCCCCTTCCTGGCTCATTAACTACAAAGGAACCATCTATTAAGTGCGCCCTGGGCGGCCGCTGTTCGTATACCCGAACGCCACGTGGAATAGAAGACGGCGGCCATCTTGTTCGCACGAGGGGAGTCAGCGGGACTTGGTTGTCGAGTGTCTGGAACTAAAATCGGACACTCGACCTCCCGAACCACCGCTGAAACTACCGAACGCCGGCTTCCTTTACTTCCCGAACAGCCAGGAGAGCGCCATTCGGTAGTTCTGTGCAAACGGACAAGTGGAGCAATTGCTCCTATGAGTCAGGAAGATCCATTCGGGACTTTGTTCAGTTTTGTACCTGTTTCTGAATTGACCGACCGCACATGCTGAATTAACTTATCTCAATATCTCCCAGGCAGCGAGAGGGCGTGTATTACTGTAAATGTGTACGTTGATTGGCTGTTGTCTTTGTTTGCTGTGGGAGGTCATATTGCAGGAGGATTTCTCATAAAAGCCCATGTGTGTCAATAAAATTAATTCCTGTTACACCCTTCATGAAGTCTAGGCTCATGTTTGGGGGATATTCTATTTGCTGTGAAGAATCATCTTGGAACTGCATTCATCTATCCTACTCCTCTACTCACTGCTGCAGCTATAATCACTTATGCTCAGCTGTTGGGAAAAGGAACAGAAGACCGCAGCACCATAACCACTGCAGGTCTTAACAGGGAGGAAGAAAGGGAGGGAGGTAGGAAGGAAGGGAGAGATGGATGGAGGAAGGGAGGGAGGAAGGAAGGATTGTAGGGAGGGAGGGAGGGACGAAGGGAGAAAGTTACTCTAACAATCTGATAAACATGTTGGACTGAGTTGATGCTTATATTCAAGTAACAAGTAGAACAGTGAAAAGAAACAGTTTATCAAGATAGAAAGCGATCATTTTTTATACCATATTACCTCCAACAGGGAAAGGAGGCTATTTATATTTTACCTCTAATCATGTTCGCCAGCAGTTTCAATGGATAAAGCTGTATTTCTCAAAGGGAGCTTATTTCCAGCAGTCAGCTCTGCTGGTTATTACATAGTGGTACATTTAGGGAGAAAAGGAGACGGAGCCAAATATAGCATACCCCTTTGGTGATTCAATCTCCTGTCTGTTTACTGTTAATGTCTTAAAGGGATCGTAAAGTGCAAAAAATAAATAAAATATATATCGTCACTAACTGCTAATGAAAAGTGAGCTGAAAACCTTACATAACCCTTTGTTTAATATTTATTAAATATAAAATTACATCGTTTGGCTTTATTCTCATACAGTGTTTTTGTCTCATGATTTTCAATAACCTGACAATCCCTCCTTTTGTCGTTGGGTTCCCGTTTGGTCTGTTTATTCAGAAGATATAAAATGCATGCATTATGTGTTGGTAAGAGTGATTTCAAATGTTCTTCTCTTCCAAGATTCCTGTTTAAATGTTCCTCTGTACTACAGCAGGTGCAGAAATAAATTTTCCATTTCTAAACTCGCTGTGTATAATGCAATGTTTTCCCATTCCCATGGCACACCACAAGGGAAAACAGACGGCTCTATTGCTGCTACATCCCAGGTTCGGAGCAAGCTTAGATCAATGTTAAGTCTACTGATCCCCGTAGGACTCAGCCGATAATCAGTGAACGTTACTCAAAAAGCCAAGCTTCCAAAAAGAAAAGGCACTAGCATGCTCTGCCCAGTGCTGCGCCTGTTTTGTTCCTGTCCAATTTTTAAAGAAGAAAAAAAAAAAATATATATATATGTTTTTAATATTCCCTTGAATCTGATTGAAGTGCTTTTCTTCTGGAAGTCTAGCTGTTTGTGGGACGTTGGTCTGAGACGTAATAGAACCTGCAGTTACTTCTCAGCCATTAATGCGGAACATTCAATGTAAAGATTGCTCTGGTCCGCAGTTTGATTTACATTAATTTGTTATGTGACCTCTGGTTGCTTTCTTTGAACTCCTTGACTAATCAGTGGATTCTGAGCAACTCAGGAGAAAGTTAACATTAATGTTAGACGGGTCTGAAAACATAAAATTCTTATCTGTAAGCTGTTTACGTTGGGGCCATTCTCAACTAAGTGTTTTGGGTTCATGAGCAGAACACAAAATGTATATACATTGAAACATTGCATCTGCTTGTGATACAGCATTGTCATAGGATTGGATATAAATAAAAGACTAATGCAACAAGGCCAGAGGAAGAATATCTACATCAGGAAGTGAACAATGCAACTTGTGAGTGTAACTAATGAGATTTAGTCTTAGTAATCCATTGGTCTCCACAGGATTCCCATGATCAGCACATTTCTATGGTTTTTGTTTGATACTCAGATCACTTTACCCATGCCCTTGCTATTTTATTTTTATTTTTCAGAAAACTCCTGGTCCTGGAACTTACGATCCAATGCAACAGCTTCCGATACAACCACCAACAGTGGCCAGAATGGGTCGCATGCATGGCCTTTTCTTCCGTAATTCACATGACTTTTTAAAATTGTGAATAACTGAGAATTATTAACACTTTACCATCTATTACAAATTTGGCATTTGGTTGACTTGTTGTTGTTAATTGTTTTCCAAAAAACACTCTAGAATTTAGAACACTCCAGTCAGGAGTCAGTGTGCAGCCTTTTCATTGAAAAGTAAACATATTTTCGTTGCACATCATCTGCAACTCTTCTGTCATATTTACTTATGTATGTGCTTGCTTGCGTGTGTGTATGTACAAACACAAACACTGAGCTGTAAAACGTACAAAGAAAACTTGATTAATACAACATCATAAACTGAAGAGGAGCTTCCTTTTAAGGGGCAAACAATGCACAAATATACTCTACTTTTCAAATAATAATAAAATACATCGTTTGAATTATCAAAGTATTCAAGAAACAAAACCAAGAAATTGAAAAGATTAACAAGAAGCTGTTACCAAAACCTTCTTCTGATTACTTTTTTCTTTTTATTATTTTTTTTTTGTTTTCATTTATGCTCTATGTGATGCAATATAAACTTAATTAATAGATGTCGTTTTTTTAGTTTTTTTTTATTCTTTATTTTATTTGTGCAAGGTAATAACACATCAGGCTTACAATGCCACAACAGCTGGAGTAAGCTAGGCATTAGAAGATACTGCACAGTTTTATATATATTATTGTCTTGTGTCTGGTGGTTTCACCAGTTCCGCATGTCAGTAAAGGTGTGGTATAAGGTTAAGTCGAACAATACAACATGAAGTTACATATGATTAAGTCTAGGGATTGAGACGTTGATAATCTGGCGTACAGTGCTAATACAGCCTGGATGAGCATTCATTCTAACATAATGTTATAGTAGCTAGACATTAAATGCTGCTGCAAGTTGTTATTTCTATTGTGCACTTTTTAGATTAAGTAGTTATGTTAAAGCTTATGCGGAACATGCATTATAAAGTATGTGTAACATAGCTTAGTCAAATAGCTTAACGTAAGAGTATAAATCATGCTTAAACAGTATACGAATAGGGTTAAATTCCCACTGGAGCTGCAATCACAGTCTTTGAGACCTGTATGGCTTGTGACGAGGGGTGTAATAGAAGCAAATTAAAAGGAAAATTAAAAGAGAAATAGACATGGCAAGACTAGTGTACACCCGGTTAGCGTATTCAACACAAGACATCACAAAGCATTATATAAAACAATGGTGTCTCAGGCCTCGTGGCTCTCTCGTCGCGGACAGCCCGCTCTGTTCTACCATTCCATGTTTCATCCAATTCCCATCGCCGGGTGGCCTACTAGGCAGGCAGAGATTGTACTGGTGGGAGCGCTGGGGCTGCTTTGTGAGAGGGTGTCCACCCAGAGCTGGGCCCGTGTGGCGTCCAGTGCCTTCATTTCACGTGCCCGATGGTTTGGAGTACTTGGATCTTTCTCATATGGGTTGCAGCAATGGGTCTCCCTCCGAATAGCAGTGGGCGGGCGCTGGTGTGGCGGTGTGGGGCCCTGGTTGTTGTTGGGCTCTGGTGAGTATAAGGGTAGAGGAGCAGGCGCTTGCTTACCCTCGGTGTCCGGAGGGGGCCCGCTCACTCCACATGGCTCGACTTGTTGATCTGCAGTCCCCTGTTGAGAAACTGAAGCTGCTGCTTGTGCCTCCAATTTAGCCCAGAAGTTGGTGAATATTGCCTCCAATCTTGCCAGGGAGCGCTCTACAGAAACACTGAGGCTATTACTGGTCGTAGTGGAGTTGGCTTTGCTGGAGGAGGAGTATCCGCCATTTTGAGGGTTTCCGTCGTGTGCAGGTAAGTGTCCCTTTCTGAACACAAGGTTTGTCTGGAGCAGTCCAGGGGGGGACCAGGATAACCCCCGCTTGTCCAAAGGGGGGGGGGGATGGACTGAAGCAGTTCCTTTCAGCAATCAGGAGAGCGGGGAAATCGGCCACCTTTCCCCACACCCGGTCACTTGCAGGCCGCAACTCGTCTCCGCGGGCTCACTGCATCTCAGAGGCTCGAGAGTGGGGTCAGTGTGATCAGCAGCTTGTCCTCAAGTAGGCTTATGGGTATAGAAACCTGGATTCAGGCTGGAAATGGGGGTATTACCCCGAAAATTGTTGTTTTGTGCAGGAGCTCACTTGGCATGTGGCTGCTCAGCTCCATGCTCACGCTCCGCCACCAATAGATGTAGTTTTAAAGTTCTTTAATGATCGTTGTGTTTCTAGAATCAATATCTCCTTCTGGATGAGTTTTCTACTCTTTCTCCTGTGCCATCTTGAAGATATCAGAGCATCTTTAACAGAGCTGAGCAAAATAAGAAATGGCTATACCATGTTAATTATTGGTGTTTAAAATGTATTATCAGATTTATTATAAAACATTTTCTATGGGCTCTCTTTATCCGTGCATATCCTCAGGCAACATCTACTTAAAGCAGCTCTGTCAACTTCTTCAACTTCAACTACCAAAACATGAAAAACTCACAATGGTGACATTGGCCTGTGGTGCTGACAAACGTAGGTTTTACTTATCTGATGATGTAACTCACACTGACCGTCATGTCCACCCAGGGGATACTCTTCAGACATGTAGGTTGTAACTGAGGAGAGTGCAGTCTCAGGGTTTTAGTGACATCTCTGTTTTTGTCAAACCTTTTTGGTATGGCTTAAATCTGTGTGGCAGAGCCCACTGACTGTTAGCAACCTAGGTACAACTAATCTGTTTTTTGATGTTGCTTACAGTGTCCCTTTAAGTGTATATTGATCCTGTTATATATCCTTCAGTTGACCTGCTCATGACAGACAAATGTTGAGCAGGTCCATCACCTAAGGCAGAGGGAGCCTTTATTCTTACAGTTCCTCCAGCAGAGGATTCGAGGAGACATCTTCACATGACTTAACTATGCTGGGGCCACATACCTTTTCATACACATTTATAACATTATATCTTAATTGCACCACACACCAACACAAAAGAGGAACCATCCAAAATGTCTTTCCATTCGTCACATACTTCTAAATGTATTGTTCCTATAAAGACATATAAGTAAGATGGTTATTGTGTTCTAAACAAGAGCACAAGGGTTCATAAAGTGTTCAAATTAGACCATTCTTGTAAAGCCCTCAAAGTCTCACTTATTCAAATAATGATATACATCTATGGGTTGTTGCAGTGACCTTGGAGCGGAACACGACTAGGTGTCTGCCTCAAGGCTTTCTTTGGCACCTGCACAATATCTGGAGTAAAATTGACATATAATAATGTCAAAATATTTGTAGTCGATACCTTCTATCATATGTATCGTTTACAATATGACAATCTGTTTACAGCAAGCTTGTGCTACTTAAATATATTAAATATAGAAATAGTAGTGTTCTCTTGCTTTTAAAAAATCTGTGCAAACTATTAAATTAAACAACCAATAGAAATGCATTTTTATAATTGACCTTTTTTCTCCTTTCTACGGGACTTGCTCAGCACAAAGTTAAAAAAACAAACAACCCTTTTTTAGTAAAACAACCCACCTAAGTTTTTTTTTCCATGTGGAACTAGAGATTGGTTTTCAATAAATTATGAGCATGAAGAATTCATACAAGATAATACTGTCATGTGTACATATGTTTATTCATGTTTCAGCAGCTAATTGGCTGACTTCAAGGTACCAAGGAAAATCAATGTCATCACATGTATAAGAGCATGTCCATTCGTGTTTAAGGAAACTAACATTGAACATTCGTGTTGACTATAAATTCAGACAAAAAAGGTTGCTTGCATAGTCAACCTTGTTTTTTTTACCATCCAACTGTACCAAACTGTAATCAGATAAAAATCAGTCCAGTGTGTATTTTGTAACCATGAGAATATACGTTAATTTTGAGCACACATGAAAGCACTCACAATGCATTTGTTATAATGGTTTGGTTCCACATGAAATTCAGTGTGATCACCTTTTCATTCAGCATTGTTTGGAAGCCTTGCTAGTACCGCATTGAAGAACTGTACAGAGTCAGTGACTTTATGGTATTTCATGAAGAAACAAATGTATTATCCAAAAATCCTTGTAATGGAATTAATAGAAAATTATGCGTTGAATCCTATAATCATAGATTAAATTAGTGTCAGTTTTAAGGCCTTAAACATTTACCTTTCATAACAATATTTTGAAAAATAACACGCAAGACCATTTTAATTCTGATTTAGAGAAGGAACTATTTTTAGAAAATCTGATATCATTTTTCTAATAACCTCACTCTTGGTTTTATGTGAATTACAGATTGCTGACCTGCAGAACTCCAACTGCCATGACTATCTACTCCGATCTGTCCAATTTATAGTTGATTGATCTAGGAAGACCTTAGAGAGAGAACTGCTAGTAACCCAAACAGCCCATGACCTCTTTCTATTTAAACAATATGTCACAGTATTACCCATTTCTGTATTCATATTGTGTCTATCACACAATGTACCTTGATGATCAACCAAGGATATGTGAAAACAAACATCAAAAGAGAAGGGATTTAAAAGGACTGCATAAACAGAAATCAAAGTGATTTAGCTCCTAAAAACTGCAGGGGCATGGTCTAGACCAGTGGTTCCCAAACTTTTTAGGTTCAAGGTGCCCTTAACATTTCAATATTTTTCCAAGGCACCACAAGTCAAAATTTCTAGGTTGTATATTTGTACAGCGCTGCGGCATCTACTGGCGCAATAGTGTAATGTACATGTGACAAAATGCCTTTTGTCATGGGGGTTTCATGTGACAAACTGCCCTGCCCCCCTGTCTTATGGAGAAGCTGGATTGCTAGCCTCTTACCCTGGGATGCTGGCCCTTTAAGTTATTGGGTCTTAAGGCACTTGGGACAGAGCCCTTTGTCCCTGGATGGCATCGTTTGCCTTACTTGCTTGGATTTTACATTTGCCCTAATACATTTGTATGTTGGTTCGTGCAGTTTAACTTCCATTACAGCTGGACTAAGGCTGTTCGTACAGACGAACAAACTGCCGAACGGCCGACCACCCGGTCTGTGGCGTGTGCTGCT